TTAAAAACTTCTCCGTGATGCAGCGGTAACGCGCTCGTTTTGTGTGTGACAGGTCTGGAGTTCAAATCCAAGTCGATTCAAATTTTAAAAAAAAAAATTTTAAGTGTCTTTGTTAAGGAAATAGCCACGATATGCAAGGATAAAGTGTGGCTATCATAAAAAATGAACATAAATTATTTTTTGATGCAACTCTAGTTATGCAAAATTCCGTACGTATCAAACTCTGGTGCCCTGCAAGACGACTTATAGTACATAAAAATAAACTTATACAGGAAAACACATACAGATATACAGTACGATTTAGATTGCAAAGAACTTATACAGGAAAACACATACAGATATACAATACGATTTAGATTGCAAAGATCAAAAAATACCACAGAGCTTGCAGCCCTTTGATTTATCTTTGCAGGTAATATATCCACATATATCACTCCAAAACCAAACTAATAATTTTATTACCCTCCCCCTGCCGAGTTCAGACGATTTTAAAATAAATCATTGCTACTTCAAATGAAACGTCAAAATAAGATTCCCTTTGGGTACCCCTTCACCACAACGTGACGTCACATAAATACATGACTAACTTTCTTTCGAAACAAGAGAAAAAGAGTAGTCTGTTGAACGCATTTTTTTGGAATTAATATCAAGCTTTCACAAGGTCATATTTGTTTTCAATAGTGATGAGAATATGTATCATTACTCTATTTTGGTAAATATTTATCATTTGACAGTTAAAAACTGCTTGTAAATCGGAATTAACATCGTGTAAAATCAAAATGTACGCGCATCGCCACAGCCCATGTTGTTTACAACGTGGGATACCCCATGGGGAAATTTAGTGCGTATATTACCCGTCTGGCTCGGTAATATCAATTTCGTTAGGGTGATCAATATCCAATCAAAAAGGCAGAAAAAATCTTGAAGTGTAATAAATGAACATAAGTATGTTAAACGAAACTAAAATGCAGATGTTATCACAGAGTAACTTTTAAACACATCATGTAACAAGCGCTACAATGGCAAAAAGTACTAGTGTGGAACATCATGTAACAAGCCCTACAAAAACAAACATGGCAAATATTACAAGTGTGGAACAAGTCTAAGTCGTTACATAATATGGATACTTTTATGGTCCCAAAGTTCACTTCGATATTTAACGCAAAAAAATGAATTTTCTGAACATTGGTCAAGTACAGACCGCCTGTTTTTTTCCTTTATAAGGAGAAATGTTTTGGTACCTGTGACTGCTTAGTGTATTCATTTTGAGGACATCAATACAATATTGGATTAAAATTTCAGAAATAAATAAACAAGAAATGTCGAATGATACATATGCCCCCCCCACACCTTTCTAGCCCTTAACTCACATTATTGGTATATTCTGTTATAGAAACTTGCCATAAAAGGGTACATGGAAGTGTTCAGTTGTGAAAAAAAAGAAAAAATAATGAAGAGTTTGCCATAAAAAGTTTTCAAAATAATGAATGGAAACCATTCTGACATTTACGGTACCTGTGACCTTTTACCTAGTGACCCCTTAATCAATAGGGGTCATCTTGTAGTTATGACCAATCACAATATGAAATATGAAGACTTTGTGATCAATACTTTATAATATAATCAGCGAAAACCATATGGTCTACCGATGGACAGACCGACAGACATTAGCAAAACAATATCTCTTCTTTGAAGGGGGCATGAAAAATTGCCTATATATCCTTTTAAAACATATAATGAGTACATTTCACAGAAATGTTTGGAATTATATAAATCAGTAAATTTACAGTTATTATTCATTTTTTTAACATCACACAATAAAGTACATGTAAAGTAAAATACATTTCAAGGAAACAAGTGAAATCCTAAGAATCAGAAACTTAAGGTCTTTATACATTTATAACATTTTTCACTATAACACACAAATTGCACCGAATGCTTCACATGATTCAGATTAACTTGCATGTCTTATATATTACACATCAAAACAATTGTAACAAATTAATACATATAAGTTAAACAAGAAGCAGTCAAAATCTGCCAAATCCCCTGTCTATAAAAAAAATCGATCCAATTCCTACCATGACATAATACAACAAATCAAAGGGCATTAACGCAAAAGGTGAAGGATAAAACACTGAAGATTCAAGATGATATTTCTGATTCATTTTTGTGTTGTAGCTTGGATAAAATAAGGATACATAACAGTTAATTGTGAGGTTATCATCCTAGAAGTTTGCACTCTTTCACCTCATGATTTTAATTAATAATTCAAATTTACTCTGTGATCTGATCAAAACTGTCCAAGCCAAAATTAATAAAACTCAATTACTGTTATTGCGCAATGCATTATCTATTAATGATGGATGGATGTATCGAAAGATAGATAGACAATTTAACTGATGTAAACAGTACAGTTTTTGGTCATACATTTGCATATACCTATACAACATAATTTTAACATGTGATTTAACAAACAGTAAACACAATTTACATGGTCAACATGTTGTTTGTGGAGGATGAATAAGATGTTTACATATATATCAATACCCTACACAAAATCCATAAAATTCCATATTGGCAAATTTAACAAAGCAAAGACTTCCTAAGTATAAAAGCTTGATGTTCACTCTTAAAAAAATCTGTAAACTTTGTAACAGTTGCTCTCCTATAATAAAAGGCTTTAATATATTGTTTTCTAAAATGTTCGTACAACATACATTATATATCGAAATGTTATTCATCTCCAATATCTCTGTTTTGACAAAAAATACAATAACACTCATTTCTTTCCACTCTGTTTCTAGAATAGCCTACAGTATCAAAAGCCAGTTTGTGTGAAAATAATCATAGTTTTGATAAAGCATTTCTTGAATGGCAATATATGTAAATATGGTCCAAATCTAAACTCTGTTTTAAATTGCTTTTATATATAGCCTTAATGTTCCACATTCCTGAAATCGTTGGAACAAGTTTCGCTAAGTATCTAGCCAAGCTATAAAAATTAGATGAAATTTAGCTGAATCAACACAAGATGTGTTGTTCCAAAATCATAACAGTCCAACAGACTTTTTACTGGATATACATTTTGAAGATCCAACATTTTTACACAACATAGCATGTATGACTTTATAAACCGTAAAATATCAAAAGAAATTATAGTGTTGAAATGGAAAGACAATAATATGAAGTTCTCATACACTTTTTTCAAACAAAATTCTAAGTTTTAAGAGGAGATACCTCTTGAAATATAGATGAAAGAGTTATAAACCTTATAATAAACTAGAAATGTGTCCATAGGACACTGGTCCCCCCACCGCGCCACTGTTCTGTCAATTTAATGACTCTAGGTCAAATATTTTTTGAAAACTAAAAATCTTTTACTAAGTAAAGGGCAAGAACTTTACAAATACTGAATAAATCCACAAGCAAACCCCAAGGTGCATAAGTACACATGCTGACCAACATTCTTGTAAACTTTCAGGCCTTCAAGTGAAACACTTTTTGAGCTATGCATGAACAAGTTGAAAATTGCAAATTTATACTACTGTAACTCAAGGGCAATAACTATAACAAAACTGAAAAAAATTCACATGCCAAGTCCCAGGACATAGCTTCACAGTGATGTGAATCATTATTCCTGTAATTTAGTGATGTTGATCATTATTCCTGTAAAGTTGGTTGATTCTAACTCAAGCACTCAAGGAACAGATAACATAATGAAACGGTTTTTACTAAGTCAAGGGAAATAACTCTTCAAAAACTGGATAAATCCACAAGCCAAACCCCAGGTGCAAAACTTGATATGCTGAGCAACCTTCCCGTAAGGTTTAATGACTCAAGGTCAAATCCTTTTTGAGATACATGCGACACAAGTTGAAAATTGCAAAAAAATTCTAAGTCAATGGCAATAACTCTAAAAGTACTAAATAAATCCAGACGAAAACAACCGGGTGCACAACTACACATGGTGATCAACATTCCTGTAAAGTTTCATGACCCTAGGTCAAATACTTTTTGAGTTACATGCGACACAAGTTGAAAATTGCAAAATTTTACAAAGTCAAGGGCAATAACTCTAAAAATACTAAATAAATACAGACGAAAATATCCAGGTGCACAACTACACATGCTTATCAACATTCCTGTAAAGTTTCATGACTCTAGGTCAAACACTTTTTGATTTACATGCAACACAAGTTGAAAATTGAATTTTTTTTACTAAGTCAAGGGCAAGGCAATAACTCTAAAAATACTAAAAAAATGCAGACGAAAATACCCAGGTGCACAACTACACATGCTGATCAACATTCCTGTAAAGTTTCATGACTCTAGGTCAAATATTTTTTGAGTTACATGTGACACAAGTTGAAAATTGCAAAATTTTACTAAGTCAAGGGCAATTACTCTAAAAATACAAACAATATCCAGACGAAAATACCCATGTGCACATCTACACATGCTGATCAACATTCCTGTAAAGTTTCATGACTCTAGGTTAAATACTTTTTGAGGTACGTGCGACACAAAAGAGAACGGCCGGACGGACAAGGGTAAATCTAAATGCCCGCAACTAAAGTGGGGGCACAATAAAAGCAATGAATAAGAGCATTTATAATCAGTGAAAAATAGATACTAAGAAGATAAATGTAAAATTCTAACTTCAAAGTAAACATAATTATTGAAATAGAAGCCCTTCAGATACAAACACTGTCACTGAAATGTCAATTAATATTCAAACACAAATTTTTTCTTGTTTTACGGATCAAATCCCTAATTTCCACTTCTGTCTCTCTGCAGCCTTCATCGGCCTTTAAGTAGGTTATATTCTTGTAACAGGCTACGATGAAGGCCAAAGCTTCATTCAAAAGCAGATAAGCCGAGTAATTGAGTGATAGTCTGAAATAATCCAAAGATAACTGGTGCTACATCATTTATATTATGAGTTTTATTATCGGATAAAAGTAGCATAATTAAGAGAAGTAAAAAATCAGCAAAATACTTATTCAGTGTTTTTCCAAAAACAATAAAATAATTTGTAGTTAACAGAAGAACAAGTGTACTAAACATACATAATTTTTACATCAACTTGTTTTCAAACTAAAAATGTATCATCACGCCACGGATGCCCCCACATGCATCCATAATTTCAAATGTTATGAAAATATAAAATTCCAAATTTGCTTGCACAAACCATTTTTTTCATTCTAGGTCAAAGCCCTTAATTTTATTTTAGTGTCATGATTTTTTTTCAAAGAGGTTTACATCTTCATTTTAAAAATGTTGTAACATGTTAGTGCCATGGATTTATATATTCTACAATGATGTTAAATTTAGCAATAAAAATTCTCTCACCAGTGATAATAAATGCAATTTTTTTCAGTTAAAAGGTAATTAATTCTATATCAATTTGTTTATTTTCTAGCTAGTATATTGTTATGCCAGTGTTTCCTATGTAAACAATAGTTATCATGACTAGTAACATTTAAAGGATAGCATTCAGAGACATACGTTTGGTTTCTGCAGAATAACTTGTACAGACATGAATTTGTCTGTACACACCTCATCATGTGGATTCTTAGTCCTGTTGCTGGATACCTGCAAATATAACCATAAAACTGATTTTTGTAAGTGTAGGTCATTTTTCATTAGTAAGCATTCACAAAGTAAAATTGCTCAAAAATGAAGCAGACACTTGACCTTTTTAATTTCGTAAAATGCTTACAAACGAATACTAACCAATTTAGTGTTAGAAATGCTTTTTTTTCAAATCTTATTAATTATCTGGGAACATTCACAGGTGGCATCGGTGTTTGGACACCCCACCCCTATCTGCCCCTGGACTCCTACTACAACCCTGAACAAAATAATTCAAAAGGCTAAGCCTTACTATAATGTACTGAATACAAAACAACCGATAAAATTATATATTAAAAAAATTTCCACTATCAAAATTATTGTTAAGATAACTATAATTTTGATAGTGGAAATTTTTTAATTTTTTTTTTCTTAAACGGCCACCTGTGGGAACAATTTGATGTTAAGTTTGATTGAATAAAAGTGTTAACTATACAATTTGTTATTCTTTTTTCGTATTATAGAATAAATGCATGTACTTTGTATATCAAATCATTTACTTAAGTGGTTACATGTGCTGGAAATACAGTGTTTAATCATATGAAAAAGTGTGTAATGCCAAAAAATTGTGAATATCAAACTTACTTTGGGTCCAGCATTTGAAACAGGAAATGCTTTTGTAAACGAAAACACAGTTGTTCTATAGTCTGAAGAAAAATATAATAAGATTAACACACACTTATACATTATAAAACGGTTAACAAGGCGTCCCATAACAATATTACACAAGAAATATGATGGAACATATGAAATTGAGGCTGTTTGTTGTGTACTACATTATCTAATTTAAAAGAAGTTAGCATAATAGGTATTTTTTCCAAAATTTTATAACAAAATAAACAGAAGATATTATGTTTTACATGTATTTTTTACTTATTCTCCAACAAAAAACAAAATATTCATTTTGTATAGTTTTCATATTAAATTATCAAGTTTGGTATCAAAAGAATTTATATTGAGAAAGAGTATCAATTTCATTAATAGAACCTTCTGCTAATATTGCTTGATTTATAAATTTTTACTTAAATATTATTCAAATTATTGAAAGCAGCACACCTCAATTTTCATGTTAATTTTCATGAAAAATTTGAAAATGGGTTTAAAAGAATGATATTGCCAAGAAACCATAAAGAAGCAATTTGCGCATTATCTACGACACCTACACTCCATGTACCAAAAAGAGTTAAAATATGCTAAAATAGCCCTTACTGCGTTAGTGACGTAGTAGGAATATACTTAAAAATACTGAAATATCAGTCATTAATTGCCCAAAATATGTAAATAATTATTTGTATCTGGAATATTTTGTCCTTGACAGTCAAGGTCAATTTAAGGTCAAAGTCATATGTAAATCATTCAATATGTTTGTTTGGTAGCAAGTCTTGTTTAGTCCAAGTATAAATCAAATCCATACATTAATAACAAAATAATGACAATTTAACAAAAATTCACTAATTTTACCTTTATGGTCAAGGTAAGTTAAGGTCATTTCAACCTTTAATAACATCATGTCCAAAATGTTGTTTTGTCAAAGGATGAAGAAAATCAATTTTATTTACCACCAACTTACAGTCAATTATATCATAAATCAGTGAAAATTCAATCATTCAACCTTCAAGGTCAAGGTCATAGAACAGCCAAATATTCCTGCACCAATCAATATTCAAATTATCTGTCAATTGTATGTATTGAAATACATATGAAAACCTTTAAAAGTAACTGTTTGGAAAGACCATGTATAATTCTGACATTAAAAAAACATAAAGAACAGTACTTAAAACTTTTCTTTGTACTATTTCAGGTATGCTAAAATTATATTGATTTCCTTTTAATATCTTTAAAAAGTAACGTGCCTTGCATGCAAGTCATGTTCAACTAGAACTGTGTCCAAAGGACACGGATGCCCCCACTGACAACATATATATGGTATATAGTGAAAAAATTAACAAAGGGCCATAATTCTATTAAATTTGGTCGCAGCAAAAATTCATTCCTTTACTACCATCTACACATTAAGGTTGTTCATCCCTGGAAGTTTAAGCAAAATCTGCCATCCGGTTTAAGAGGAGTTGCGTTCACAAATTTCTATATGGTATATAGTGAAAAAAATCAACAAAGGGCCATAAATCTGTTAAATTTGGTCGCAGCAAAACTTCCTTCCTTTACTACCATCTACACATTAAGGTTGTTCATCCCTGAAAGTTTGAGCAAAATCTGCCATCCGGTTTAAGAGGAGTTGCGTTCACAAAATTTCTACATAGTATATAGTGAAAAAATCAACAAAGGGCCATAATTCTGTTAAATTTGGTCGCAGCAAAAATTCCATCCTTTACTACCATCTACACATTAAGGTTGTTCATCCCTGAAAGTTTAAGCAAAATCTGCCATCCGGTTTAAGAGGAGTTGCGTTCACAAGATTTCGGGACGTACGGACAGACGTACGGACGGACAGACGGACAAGTGCCACGCTATATGCTCCCACTCTGTGGATGCATAATAATATGTGAAGTAATTTTTTATTGGAACAAATGGCTGATGAAATGGCCTTGATATAGTATGGTTACTTACATATTGGACTGTAAATAAATATAAAATAACAAGACAAAAATACAAGATTTATACAAATATACAGATGAAAAGGTATGTGAAATATAACAAATATGAACAACATGACATATATCTTACTTTACGCTTGAAGTAATTGACGCCATTTATGAATGTTTTCTCCTAATAACATTTGCATAGTTTTCATCAAATATGTGATGTCTTTGATGACTTTCTTTTTTGCTGTAGAGAAATAAACATTTTGCAAGCATATAATTTAATCATGGTGCAGGTAAATGTTTTTTTTTCTTGATTTTTCACAGAAAATTCTTTAATAATTTGTTGTTGATATTTAAAAACTGCTACAACAGCTTCATTACATTTAGATATATCTAGACACAGAAATTTATATGAAATAATTATAAACAAGAGGACCATGATGGCACTGAAGTCGCACACCTGTATATAGGACCCCAGGGCGGGGCCAATTTAAACCAGAGGGCTTTTATTTGAACAAAGTGGGTAGACACCCATTAGAAGATATTTCATGCTTAAAGGGACTCCACTGAGGTTTTTTGACAGGATGGGACTGAAAATCGGGCTAAGAAAAACATAAAAATACGATTTTCAATTTATTTCAAAGTATATTTCTTCACTATCTTTGCATATATTTCTGTTTAAAGTGCCCCAGCTCATTTATGTAATAAATTCAAATGTTATGTTTTCGGCTTTTTACCCTCCGTGGAGTCCCTTTGATATCTAAGCTTTAGCTCTTTGATTTAAAAAAATACGGAAAAAGCTTTATAAGCTTCCTACTAAATCCGTAAATTTTATTTTATGTACTATATTATGTAAATGTGTGGATTATAAATAAAATATTGTTTAAACTAATACCGAGTACTTCGAGTCCTCAACAATTTGCCATAACCAGGTCTGAATGCACTATCTATGTGTTTGTCTGTCTGTCTTTCCGTTCGTCCACGCACCGAGCCACCACACCCCCCCCCCCCCCCATTTTATCCCAAACCAACCCCAAAACCCCACCCATAACCCATTCTGGGATGCCCTTGGGAAAAGTGAATCGCCGGAAAAAGGACGGGTTGGGTGGGGAGGTTTTTTGGTTGAAGAAAGGTTTTAAAAAATAAAAATTTTTCATTACAGGACAGTTTGGGGACATTGAAAACTTCAAGTCATTGTTGAAATGTTTCTATAAGAAAGAGAGAAAGAAAGATTAAAAGTTAAAACACAACAAATCAACTTATACTGTACACATATATTAACCCCCGCCTGTTTAAATTGGTCAAGATCAAGCAGGGTGCCAATGTTCCAGGGAAGCTGGTTTAAGAGCGTGATACAGTGGTGAAAAACGAGAACATATGGTAGTCTGGTGTAACTTGTATTTTCCTAAGAGAGAGGGAGTGCATATATCTAGTAAGCCTAGATGGAGTTTTAATGTAAGTATTAAGGCTAATGTGACATCAATAGTTCATAAATGGCTTTTCAAAAACCTTAGACATTACGGGCAAAAAACTTATTGGTCTGCTCTTGTCTATTTTTCCCACTACAGTACTGTACGTATAGATACGTACGATGATTTCGTTCTAAATATTGTCGGGTGCTGCATTCTCATGTTGGTACAAATTTTCTCTTTCCATTTTAAACGCTTTTCCAAAAAAACGTGAGACCAGGGTTTATATAAAAAATTTTATATAATACCCCCGTTGTTGAAGACCTTTGTTTATGTTTTTCATTTTTTTGGGTTTCCCAAAAACATTTCTTTTTTGATTTGTTTAAAAAAAAAAATGGCGGTTTGTTTTACAGGGCCAAAAATTTAATTTTTTACATAATTTGTTTAAATTGTTAAAAGTATAATTTGCCAAAAAACTTTTTGTTTTAACTAATTTTTTTTATGTACTTTTTTAAAAATCATCCTTTTAAAAAATCATTTTGGCGAAAGGGGGCATTTTCGTTGGTAAACTTTTTTGATATTATTTTCGGATATTTTTTTTCGGACACCTAAAAAGGTTTTATATCTAGCTGCATTAAAACTTGTATATTTTCTATGTCATTATTAACTTTGACAGTGATAGATGATATTCAAATTATACAGAGCAACTTTAAAATTATGAAATGCTGATAAGCATTTCATGTTTTCATTTAAATGATAACAGAATTTTTAAATATTTCAAAAATTTAAACTAGTTTACCAAATCAAAATAAAGCTTTGATTCATTTCCAAGATAATATGAAAAAGGCAAAACCTCAAAGCGAGCTCGATGTACTTTTTACATGAAATAGTATGAAATAATCGCTCATTTTTATTTCAAATGCAGTAACGAGTGCGTGTGACGTCACACGTACTGTGTTAAATATGGCCCCGCCCCTGTCGTGAAATGAATAACGAGTTTTGAAAACGTTGATAAAACTTTGTTTATTTTATTTCACTCTATAATTTTTCAAGCGAAATAAAGATTATTTAAAGTGAAATAAATGTAAAACTTAAAACGTTTACGACATTAAAATAGCGTACTTGATTTGTTTGTTTTGCACGTGCTGTTTGGCGCTACATTGTGACGTCAGGTAAACAATACTTTAAACGTCTGTACAGCGTTAATGACTGAAAAAAAGATATTGGTGTTCGGATTCATTTTCTTAGTTAGACCATTTTCTTTCATTCTAGATAGTTTTCACAATAAAATTCGACAAAAAATTGTTTTTATTTATCAGATTTCAAACAAAATGGCGCCTTCGATTTTCATTTTTTATACACAGCTTCCGTTATTCTGGTTCCCTGTCCAATTATGGTTCCCATAGACGTGCGCGGGTAACCAGTCTACACATCCGTTTTCAGTCAGAATTCCTCAGTTTTTATCGTTATCTTTAAATTCGAAAGGTTGCGATGTGTCCAATTCGGTACTTTGGACGAAAGTTTTCAAAACCATCACTTAGCAGGTACTCGCGTTACCGTAAAGCTCGCTTTGCGAGCAGGCCCTTCGGGCCAGCTCGTCGAGCTCGCTATTAAACGATAGTATCATCTGAATTTTTTTCAATAATAATTTAATATGAAATAAGGCAAAGCCTATGAATGGGGAAGTTGTTAAAAAGATTCTGTTCATTTTTCCTTTTTAAAGATTTCATGCACCTCTTCCGTTGTCACTCGAAACACTCAATGGTTATTATTTATCCGAAAAGTTGAGATATTTTCCAGTGTTCAGTGTTTCCCACCTACCTAGAGGTGTACTGGTTAGAAATCCAGGTAAATGCATGTATCAATGCTATACAGACTGTGTTGTCAAACCATTTTAGGTGTCATTTTATGCATGGGAAACTTATTGGCAACACTGTTGCTAATGTCAATCAATTTAAGCTGTTAAAACAAGAAACATCTTTCAATTCCTCTAAAATTCATTGCCATATATTTTTTTATTACTACCGTTGTCATCATTAATCTAATCTCATTAAAAAAAGGGTTGCATACCAATAACCGGTAATTAGACTGTACCAAAACCGTGTTAAAATTTTATAAAATGTGTAGGTAAATTCCATTCTCGGTTGTTGGAATTTGATTTTCCCCTTTTCTGATTTATCATGCTATATTTTCCCCTTCACAAAGGCTAAAAGCCACAGTTTGTTTTGAAAATAGAAACAAATCACTGCCAGTGGTAATGCAACAAGACAATAAGCTAGCAAAATGAGATTTCATTCCCTGTTATAAGAAATAATCAGGAAATTTTTCTTAAAAAATGTAAGCTTAATTGATGTAGTTTGTGAATATTTGCAAGATTGAAAATGGGTCTGTTGGACCCATTCTGACAATTTTGAAGGATCGTTGGTGATTTTGAATGATTCCGTTATTCAATACCACTTGCAAAATGTATGTAAAGAAAAATATTGCTGAGTGGGTTACAGACAATAACAGCTAATCTAGCTATATTCCATATTTAATTTTTAAAAAAACCAGTTTTCATTCGAATCAACATTGGGGATGACTTTATTTGTATAGATTTTATGTCTTTATTGAAATAGTAATATCATTTTTTGTTAAATCGGCTTATTTCTTCACTTTCAAAAGTTTGCCTCTGGCAGCCAGGCAAGGTTTGAACCAACGCAGCTAGTAATCCTTAAATTTTTAGTTTGATATATTTACAACTCAGCTTTGCTTCCATTGTTTTGTGTTTACTTTTTAAAATAGAATTTTACTTGTGACACATGTTATACATGTATAAAAGTGCTCAAAAAGCTTTTTGCCATACTCAATAATTCATCTGTGTGTATAATCATATGTATAAACTGACCCTAATATTTTTCAGTTCTCACTTTTAAATGGCATCAGAAGCAAGTATTACAGATTCATTTGGATCTCTAATCGATTACTTTACACCTGCAAAGAAAAGGGCAACACTTGGTCAACCTCATCAAAGTAGAAAGCAGATCAGAAGTCAGTTGAAGAGGCGGCTGTATAGTTCATTATTTACATACTTAAAGAATAAAGAAAGGTATGCTTCAGTTAACTAATATGCTTACTTATTTGGTATTTGTGATTCATAAAATTTAAAAATTAGTAAAATAAGTTGTTATGGTAAGTACATTTAGATAGTTTTGTTGTTGTTTACTCCATTGTACTTTCTGCATAATTATTATTTTTCAATGTTCAAATATAAGTATTCCAGCATTTACAAACTATACAGTATTAAATGTAAATTTGCTAACTGACTATACAATTGCTACACTGTGGAATGGTTCATAATCACAAGTTGACCTGGTTTACACAAAATAACTCATAGTTTGTTTGTGATGCTGTTTGTGAGCAATTGACTTAGCAATTGATAGAAAGGGCTGCCCTAATTTTTTTACTGCTAAAACTGGAAAGATCCATTGAATTATGCCTTTAATTGACATATTAGTAAAGTTTGTGTTTTGGAAACTACTCTGCATTTGTAATTTTGTATAGTTGACTTATCTTACTTTTAAATGTGAATAATCAGTTAATAGCTTAATTTTAAAAGGGATTTCAGTCTCAAACAATAATTTAATATATACATGTAAAATAATATGAAACAGTACAGAGCCTAGTTAAACTGAAAGGCTGGTCTGAGTATAGGACTATTGTTATTTCAATGTATGTAACTTATAAAGGAAAAAAAGCTTTACCATTTTCAATGCAGAAAACAAGTAAAATATGTGCATTGCTTTTTTCAGGCATGTCAAACAGAAAGATTACAATAAGGTGGAGGTGGTTAAATCAGAGTATATCTGGTTGATACACTCATTGAGGAAGAGGCGCAGATTTGATGAGGCTAACAGACTGGATACCTTCCTCACTAAATTATGTGGTATGTTATTACTCTTATTTTGCATTTTTATTCTAAATATTGTGAAGTAGTAATTCTATCTAAAAAGTTTCATTTATTCTTACAATTTAATGATTCATTGTTTGGATATGTATGACTTTCTGTAATAATTAATTTTCTAATTAAGCAGAAATTTGAATTATATTTTAAGTTTCAAATACACCAGTTGTCTTTTTCACGTAACTATTCTATGATGTTTTATGATTTGCCTGTCTTTTTCATTGAGTTATTTGTTTATTTTTTACAATCCCATACTACTTTTTTTATGCCCCTGGGCATATTCTGATTGAACCGTCCGTCCGTCTGTCCGTACGAGGTTAACCTAGAACGGCAAGTTGGATTTTTGTGTCGCCTCTACGGAGTAGTGGCGACATATCGGGATCACTTCTCCGTCGTCTGTCCGTCCGTCACAAAACTTGTCCAGACTACTCATAAACTACTGGTGCAATTTCATCCACCTTTTACAAGAATGATCAGTACCAAGTCTAGTTGTGCATATTGTCAGCATTTTCCAGTTCAATGATTTTTGTAAGAGTTATGGCCCTTTAATAATTTTTATTTTTAAAGTTTGTCCGGACTACTTCTCTTATACCACTAATGCAATTTCAATGAAACTTTACAGGATTGATCTGTAGCTCAAGTCCTTGGCGCATATTGCACGGGTTTTCCTGTTGAATGATTTTTGGCCGAGTTATGGCCCTTTGATAAAAAGGTGTTTTTTCTGTGTGTTGCCATATACACAAAAGCTTGTCCGGACTACTCCTCATAAACTACTGGTGCAATTTCATCCAAACTTTACAGGGATGATCAGTACCAAGTATAGTTGTGGACTGTCTGTCTGTCCGTCTGTCACAAAACTTGTCCCAACATGAAATTGGCCATCACGAGGCGACACATGTGCTCACTGATTGCTCCTGTTCTTAAATTCTACCTGTTCCAATGGCTTCTAAGTTTACACACTTACTAATCAATACAAAGTACATGATCTGGGCAAGTTACATAACTCTGGCTTTCATATTTACCAAGTTATTGCCCTTTTCAGCACTTAGAAAATGAATAATGGTTTACCTAAAACGGTAAGTTGGAAATATCTTAAGTTCTATCTGTACTAATGGCTTTATAATGTCCACACTTACTTATCAATACAAAGTACATGAATTCAGGGTTCTCGGGGACGCTTATTTTGGCGTCCCGGTACGCATGTTTATTACAGCTGGGCGCAATAATTTCAGAGCAAGGATTCCACGTACGCTTAATTTTGCCTGGGGACGCATAAAATTACCAATTGTTTACCAACCACAAATACGTCAGCGCATGTCAGTCTATAGGTAGGCGGTCCTATGCACATTGACCTGTGAAGCGATTAGCCAATCAGCGATAACACTTCCGATCATTATCACGCAATAGTGATCAGACTAATGTATACACGCGCTGTACATGTAATTACCAGATATAACACAAGGCAAAGGGGCCTGGCACAGTGTTGGGATAGTGTAAAAAAAGTAATTCTAGAAAAAAAATTATACTTTATATATAATATATATATATACAATATATATTTTTTTTAAAAATTACCTTTTTACACTATCCCAACACTGTGCTGGATCCCTGTGACACAAGGTGATAATTTTATATCTTTGATCAACAGTTAATTGGAAATTAGCAAATTTTACCGACAAAAGGATAAAATTATCGACTATTTACGCCGCAAGTTTAAAGACAGTTTTCTCAAATTACAAATGAGTGTACTTTTGAATGATTGTCGAAAATTTCCGGCATTTTCTATGCACAATTTTGCTTTAGTTTCATTCTTGCAAAAAGGTTCTATAAGAGTATTAAGAATTTAAGATATTGTGCCGAAATGCCAAGACAACAAACCAAAATACACATATGCTTTTATTTGATCCGAAAATTGATCCCTAATATCGGCGATTTCACGTTCGCCAGAAACCCTAAAATTCGCAAAAATTCTCAGTTTCCAATCCAAACACATGAATGAATTGTTCTTTTATCATTTACCGTAGATTTGCGGTCATAAGTCAACCAAAAACGGCTGCCAAAATCGTCCTTAAAAATCAACTCGACTTATGTACGAGTAACCAAAAAATATTGATCTAATTAGAGCCTTTTTTGAGAGTTCTGTAAGCGGTAATGCTGGCTCATCTTTCAGTACCGATTGGTAAGGAAACATACCGTAGACCTAATGTTTAAACAATAAAATATTAAATTGAATCTTATTTTAATTTTGTAAGGGATGTTCGATAATAATTTATAATAAATTTCAGATTTTAAATCAGCGGCCGATATAAAGGAAAATTTAATGGAAAATCATATTTTAATAGCAATTAGCAGAACACATTTCCCTTTGTTGCTGAAGAATGTAAACTTCGAGTCGCTAAAAATATTTACCCTTCTCAATACATCCATGTGAAAAACAAAGTGTCATCAGGTGCTAATACACTGTACATAGACATTTTGTCGCCTTTGATCTTTTGTCAGGGCAGCTGTGCTTACGTCACGCTCAAGATGTTTGTTTTGCTTAATGATATGCGCAATGTTCTAATGCAAACCAAACGAAGACCAATCAAATTAATTTACTCAATTGTCAGACACACCCATAGCCAGTCGTGTTTGATTAGCTTTTTTGCGTAGATTTTTTTTATTGGATGAAGGAGTATGCATAATAATTTATTCACACTTTCCTATAATTAATGCACAAGGTTTCGTTAATATATAAATTTTTCTGCCGATTGTTATTACACATTTATTTGTTTTGACAGTTATTAAATTAGCATTAAACGCACATATTGGATTATCTATAAGGATTTGTTTACTTAACAAAAATAAGGGTGACATAAAGTAAAACGTTTTAAAGAACACGCACAAATTGGATTATCTAAAAGTGTGACAAAATGCCTAAACGGAAGCGTACTGCTTATGACAATGCCTTTAAAATTTGTGTAATAGAATTTGCTGAAACTTCAAATAACTGTGCTGCTGAACGAGAGTTTGGAGTCAGTGAAAAACTTGTGCGTGATTGGCGTATATCGTGGCGTAAATCGAAAAACAGGATTTTAGATGGCCTTAAGAGCCAGAAACATCGCGTTGTGCGTGTGAGTCTCTATGACGGGCTAGAGACTGACTTGCTCAAATGGTTACTTGAATTAAGAGAAAGTGGGTTTGTTGTGACTAAAAATGCCATCAGAATTAAGGCATTGCATCTGGCGAAGGATGCTAAGTATTCAATCGAGACAGGCGTGTTTAAGGCATCGGAGGGTTGGTGCTCACATTTCATGAACAGACATGGTCTTTCACTTCCTCAAAGAACACGTAACTTTGAAAGTCTCTTGAAGATTCAAAATATCAGCAATGCTATTATGAGCATTGAATGACTTATCTATAAATATATTAATTGCGACGCGCTTTTGGACTCCAACTTTTTCAGGGTTGGGAGTCCATGGACTCCATGTTTTAAAGTCCTAGTGAGAACCTTGATGATATTGCCAAGTTATATAACTGTGTCATCCATATTCCCAGTTATTTCCCTTTCCTCACTTTGAAAATAGGACCTTGTCTGGTTAACCTATTTCAGCAAGTTGGATTTATCTTTAATTTTTCCTAATTGCTTAATTTCTTTAATGATATCTTTCATATTTAGTAGGTGGATACCTTTGATGGTCCTCTAATTTTTTGTGGAGTAAGCGGTCTCTAGGGTCAAGGTCAAGGTCACTGGTTTAAAAAATAAATATAAACATTTTTGCTCATACAGCCTTTATATTTTATGTGATGTCTTAGTTTAATACAATCCTCCTTCTTTGGGTGTAGTAAGGGGTCATTTGGGTCAAGGTCAATGTTAACAATGTCAAGGTCACCAGTGTTAAAAATAGATTTTTACATTTGTATTGACATTATTCTATAGACAGATGTTATTTATAATTGATAGAAACATAAACTTTGATGGAGTTAGTGGTCAGTTGGGTTAAGGTCACCAGTTCTAAAAACAGATTTTTACACATTTTCTCATATAGCCTTTATTAAGTGACAGATATATTTAATATTTGGTAGGAAGATTACTTGCATGGTATTCATCCTTTTGATAGGGGTAGGGATCAGTGGGTCAAGGTCACTTGTGCTAAAAATAGATTTTTACACTTTTGCCCATACAGCTTTTATTTATTGACAGATGTATTTCATATTTGGTAGGAAGATAACTTACATTGTATTCTTTTGGATAGAGTTAGGGGTCAGTTTGGTTAAGGTTACCAGTGCTCAAAATAGATTTTTACACTTTTGCCCATACAGCCTTTATTTATTGACAGATGTATTTCATATTTGGTAGGAAGATAATTTGCACGAAGTTGAATATTTTTCAACTTTACAAGTCAGAGCAATGACTTGGCAACTTATATTTTTCACAATTACAAAATGCCATGACTTTGTCAAGCTATATAACTTGTGTTTACAATTTTTTGGCAATTTTTCTGTCCATTACTGAGTGAATGGGTAAACATTTTTTGAAATATTGCTACTGACAAGAATCTGAGCTGGGGGCATTTGTGTTTAACAAACACGTTCTTGTTTTTTTTTTTTGGTATTGAATAAACAAAAAATTAATACAGGAAATGATGTCATTGATGTCAATAATTGATATTCCACCAAAAGACAATAATGGTGTTTTCTGGTTAAATTTGAATTGTGTATTATACATGTTAAGAGAATACATCTTTCACATTAAGTGATATACAGAGAGTAATACTTTTAAACATCAGTATTTCATTGGTTATCATAACATTCAAAAAAACAATTATAATAGCTTATTGCAGGTATATTTTCAAGAATTGCTTACCAAATTATGGTATCAACTTCCAATTCTTTACATCATTATAAATGTGCTAGTAATATAACTACAGTTAGTTGCATGGGTTGGCTTGTCGTGTCCTTCATAAGAACCTCCCAGGGCTAATAACACTGGTGTTACTTTTATGTGCATTATCAAGTCAGACATTAATATTGAAATTGTTCTCCCTCCTTGTCTGACTTTGAAAAAAATAATTAAATATTATTATTTTGTTTTATTTTAGAGTAAAAAAAACCTGGAATAATACAAAATAGTTTATAACCAAAAAAAAAATGTCAGTAATCAAGGGCTTTTTATTTAAGGCCATTGTTTACATGTATATATTTGTTTTATTTCAGACACAGAACATAATGATGACATTTTCTCAATTTTACAAGTGTTGATGAAGTTAAAAGACACAGGTACTCCACAGAAACAACTGGCTATAGGACATGAGGAATTAAAGCTACCAATTCAACCAGAAAGGGTATTGAAATTTGAAGATAATCTTTTCTTAATTTCCAATTATATTGCAAATACATGTATGTCATTTATGTAAATCTGAAATGAAAAAGATTGAAGCCATAAAAGTAAGTTAGATTTAGTTACATGTGGACTATAAGAAGTTGTTTGTTGTTCAGATTTCACAATTATGAAAATAAATTTGGGCCGCACCATGACAAAACCAACATAATGGGTTTGCGACCAGCATGGATCCAGACCAGCCTGCGCATCCGCCTAGTCTGATCAGGATCCATGCTGTTCACTTACATACTCTATAACAAGTAGAGAAACTGATAGCAAACAGCATGGATCCTGATCAGACTGCGTAGATGAGCAGGCTGGTCTGGATCCATGCTGGTTGCAAATCCATTATGTTGGTTTAGTCATGGTGCGGCTCAAATCTTTATTTAGCCATAGACTGCTGAATTTTTACATGTCACCTCTGTGGGTTCAAATCCCATCAAGATCTTTGGATTCTTTCAAGTGAGAAAGCTATCCAGCTAGTTTACTGAAGGTCAGTGGTTCTATATAAGTACCCTCTTGTGCCTGAAATTAATAATATACAGAGGGGTACCTGATGTCTTCCAACACCAGTAAAGCTGGAAAGAAACCAAATAACCTTAACATTGTAGGTGGATTTAAACCCATACATTGTAGGCAAATATTGTTGTTTGTTAAGTATTGCTACTTACTATATACATTGATTATTTACAGGGATATGAACCACTGTTACCAGATGGTCCGCTATGTTATGGAGATACCCAGATGATACAGCCTCATAGATTGCACTATATGCATTATCCTAGGTATGTTACACCTCTTCTATCAAAGTTATTTAAATAATATATGATGAAACTTGTTCATAGATTCTACTATATGTACTTTCTTATGTATGTTACACAACTTTAATCAAAGTCATGCAAAATATTTAAGAATGGAAATTGTTAGTGCTCATTATTATGTTGTTGAATATAGCACTGTGTCAAATACCAACATACATGTGAAGGAAGTGTATAGTAGTGGGGCGGGAAATAAGGTCTCTGCTGTCAAAATAGTGCAAATTGTGATACAAGCATGAAACTTTCAGGAAATTATCTTTAGACCATGTAGATTTCAAAAGTGAAGTGGGCCCAAAAATATCTCTGCTCATTCAAGATGGCCGCCATTTTCAAGATGGCCGCCATATAAATTTGATGTACATTCTAGCTCATTCATTCCAATTTTTGTACAGACCTGAAACTTACACCAAAGCATGCATATAGTTTCCCCTTTTCAAAAATTTAAATCTTCAAGCAATTTCGCTTGCATATTTCTTCAGAATCCAAGATGGCGTCCAATATGGCTGCCAATTTTAACGAAAACTGATATATCCCTTTGGTAGTATAATTTTTGCACACAGTATGCGTATTTCCATATAAAATTGTTAAATATATTAGAGAAAAATCAAATTTTAGGTTAACCACATTGTTAGTCATGTTTTTAGTTTTTTGTAAAGAAAAAATCTTTAAAAAAATCAAAGAAAAAGTGCCATTTTCCATGGTTTGTAGGTCTATGTAGAAAATTCCAAAAGTTACATAGTTTCTTAAAGTGTATTTGATATTCAATCAACACTATGTTTTATTGTATAATTGTAGCAAAAACAAACAAAAATGTGAAGGTTTTATACTTATTAAAAATGGGTGGGGTAAATTTATCAGACAATTGTAGTACAAAATAACGTTTTTTTAAGAATTCTTATGCAAATATTCACTGTAAAAGTATTTTATTGTATTAAGATATTTTTGTTTTCCTTCAGGTCTAGAGGATGTACTAAAATATCAATAAATGCAGATACAATCATATGTATACATTCAGTTATTAAATGTGTTTGCGTGATATAAGTTGATTCAATATTCTTAATACAATTTGATAATTGTACAGAAAGAAGACTGAATATTCATCAACGAACCATATGTTAGATAAAATCATGCCTGGACCTGAGTGAAATGTTGTCTATTTATGAATACAAATATTTCCTGCACAATTAAGTCTTACTAAAAGCTTGTAACAGAATGATTCAAAGTTATATTTACTTGCACATCATTTGAACCAAGTATAATTGAACTAGTACTGTCCATTTCTAATACCTTATGTAGACATGATATTATCAAAAGAAACAAAAATTAAGGCGACTGATACATCATATTATCTAATGACTATGTGTGCTAAAATAGGTATCAATAAAACCGCTTGACCCACATAACAAACATAGCTTATGATTTGAAAAATAAACTAAATGTATTCATACTTTATTTCCCCCATTAAACAAGAGTGAATTGTTGACCCTAGATCACTCGCCTTAGATCCGCTGCTGGAAAAACTCTATAATTATTTTATACTGAAGAATGCTAAAATCGTGTAAGGAGTATCTTTTTTTTCACCAGTCATGATTTATAAACTATTTGAAATGAAATATGCCCAATAACTAGGCTCTCAGAACTTTTTCACACAAGAAGACTTATATAACTATATTCCAATAAGAGTCCATGTAAACTAAGTGATTTTGATCCTATGCCAATAGTTCATAATCTTTATATAGCATCACAATGTGATGATATACGATATTTTTTCTTCTCTGTGCACTGTAGTTTCGGAGAAGAATTTTAATATATAAGTCAATGTAAACTAAGTGACAGGAAAAGCCATTTTGGACTGCATGAGCATGATTTAAAGGCCCTCACAAGGTACACAGTTTTTAAAGACTTGTGTAGGGAATCGCATTGAAGTTGTTTTGTTGTTGTTGTTATTAAAAAAAATCAACAAACAAACAAACTGTAATGCCTAGAGCTTGGATAGTCAAAATATAACCTTGTCAAGTAAAGAAGACCTCTTTAAAAGTTACATAAAACACTTTTGGATCATTTAGTGTACATGCAAAATAAAAAAATCTTCTCAAAAATCAAAATGCACAGAGCACAGGTACTAAGCATGCAGTACCACTTTGTGTCTTTATTAACATATTTAATGAATCATGCTCATAGAGCCACCTGGGTTCACAGACTTGTATAGGAAAACACATTAAAAACATCTAGTGTTAAACTTCATTGACTTGAACTAAGATATTTGGGATGTAGACTGATATAACATGCATAAATTTGTATGATGCTACTGCAGTCTAAAACGGTTTTGCAATGATATCACTTAATTTACAAAGACTACTGTAATAAATCTGTTTTCTCTTAACCTACAGTATCCGACGCATATACATTAATCATGTATCATCATAACTATGTTATAATAATGATATATCATGGACAACATGGTCCAAATTTACCAAACACTAGAGGTCACTAAGTTTATATGGACTCGTATATAATAAATATGGTTATTAAAGTCCTCTCGTGTGAATAAAAATTGAAACAAGACATTGAGCATGTTTCTTTAAAAGCAACCGGATTCAATTATGACACAAATCATGCGTGTTATGACATAATTGACACTCCCAAAATGATCTTGTTACCTTTTTCCAACAATTATCTTAGGTGAGTGATTCAGGGTCATCATTAAACCCTCTTATTGAAAGAAAAAATAAGATATGATTACTTTAGGAAATACACTTAGTTTGTATCTTAACTTTTCAAAAAGCTGCATGCAGGCCAGGCCATATCTTTCACATCACATACAATTTGTTGACTTTTAAGTCATGTTTATATTATAAATATAAAATTGTGGAGGTGTCAAAAATATGCGTTGATGGACTACCTTTATACCTTACATTCATGTACTTGTTTGCTATTTTAAGCACGTTAAGTTGATTTATTGTCTTCTTATATGTCTTTACAATTAACAATTAATATATGATATCAAATATATTGAAACAAGAATTATCATGCAACCGAATTTAATAACTGAATGTATACACATGTTTGTATGTGCATTTCTTGCTCACCCACTAAATGGCCCGAAGGAAGACAAAAATATTTTCATCCAATAAAAAGTACTTTTTAAGTTGGAATATTTGCATAAGAATTCATAGAAAAGTTAAAAGGCAAAGAAAAAGAATGAACTTAGCTATGTATATTTTCTGTTGTTTTTTCTTTTACAATTATCATATAAAATTACCCCACCCACTTTCACAAAATATAAAACCTACAGATTTAATGCTTTTCTTACATTCTTTTACAATAAACACATGATATTAATGGAATGTCAAATAAAGTTTAAGATATAAAGTAACTTTTTTTAACTTTGTACATTAATTTAGAAAATAAAATTTGAAAAATATGAAAAAATTGGATTTTTTTCTATCTTTTTTAAAGATATTTTTAGAAAAAAACTTTTAAAATGTTTACTTTTATTGAGATTAACATTAATGTGATTATCTCTGATATGTTTAAACACTTTTTATGCCACCGCAGCATCTGCGATGCGGTGGCATATAGCGATTCACCTGTGTGTTTGTTTGTGTGTGTGTGTGTGTGTTATATAGATTATATAGTGAACTTAAAAAATCTTCTTGTGAAAAACCACTAGTCCAATTTCAACCAAACTTGGCAGGATTGATCCTTGGGTGAAGGGCTTCCAAAGTTGTTCAAAGAATTTCATTCCATACAGAAATCTGGTTGCCATGGCAACCAAAAGGAATTATAAGAATAAATTTAAAAAATCTTCTTGTAAAGACCCAAAAGGCCTAGAGCTTAGATATTTTGCATAAGGCATTGTCTGGTAGACCTCTACCAAGATTGTTCAAATTACAGCCCTGGGGTCAAAATCGGTCCCGCCCCGGGGGTCATTGATTTTCACTATATGTACATATAGCAAAAACTTAAAATACCTTCTTGTAAAGACCCAAAATGCCTAGAGCTTAGATATTTTGCATAAGGCATTGTCTGGTAGACCTCTACCCAGATTATTCAAATTATAGCCCTGGGATCAAAATCGGCCCCGCCCCAGGGGTCATTGGTTTTCCTTATATGTATATAGTAAAAACTTATACATGTAGTAAAAACTTTTAAAAAATTCTTCTAGTAATTGACAAATGCTAGAGGTTAGATATTTTGCATGAAACATTATGTAGTGAACTTCTAGCAAGATTGTTTAAATTATAGCCCTGGGGTCAAAATTGCCTTTGCCCCAGGGGTCATTGATTTTCAATATATATATATATATGTATATAGTAAAAAAATCAAAAAATCTTATTGTTTGAATGTACAAGGCTTAGTGTTGTATTAATGCGGTGGCATAGCATTTTTCTCAAATGCAATCTTGTTTATTATAATAAACATAATTTGTGCAACAAATTATACTATAAAAATGATATAACAGTTTTGCACAAAATCGACGGCCATATTGGACGCCATCTTGGATTTGGAAGAAGTATGAAAGAGAAATTTTGTGAGATTTAAATTTTTGAAAAGGAGAAAGTACATGCATGCTTTTGGTGTTAGTTAAAGGTCTGTACAAAAAATTGGAATGAATGAGCTAGAATGTACGTCAAATTTATATGGCGGCCATTTTGAAAATGGCGGCCATCTTGAATGAGCAGAGATATTTTTGGGCCCACTTCACTTTTGAAATCTACATGGTCTAAAGATGATTTCCTGAAAGTTTCATGCTTGTATCACAATTTGCACTATTTTCTCAATTTCCCGCCCCACTATAGAACATTTATATCACTAGAGGAACTAAAATATTATTTGTACAGATAAAAGAGTAAACAAATTCAGAACTTCAAATGTTTATTCACATGAAGTTTTAATTTGTTGATGTGGTATTACAGGATAATAAAATGTATATGATCATATCAAAGTAATACAAGATGTTTGTACTGATGATGTTATACATAATGCGTGCTTCTTAGATAATTATTGGAGAATAACTCTGTACTTGAAATTTCAACTGTTTTAACACAGTTATGGCTCGTACTTTAAAGTAAACATTAAAATGAATGTAGGAAATCTGTGTTGATATATTGTTTGAAATTTTATAAGTATTAATGTTTATCTGTTTACAGGTCAGTGTTTGAAGGCCAACCTCTAGAGATTGTCAGTCCTGTCAGTAATGTAAGTATGTCATTTAGTGCAGGGATTGTTTTAAGTCAGTACCATTCCTAAAGATTATGTTTGTTATTTCACAACTAATATAAAGAAAATTCTACGCTAGAACCATTTCCCCAGACTTATTAAGCATTATTATACTAGGTCCACTGTCCAAAGTAAAGGCAGTTAAGGGCACTAATTAACGGAAAAAAGATTGGGGCCAAGACTTTTGCGTAAAGGAACTTGGTGATGTTTTGAAGAAAATTGGAAATTGTATAAGATATTTCAAAAGAATACTGTTATGGGTCTTGTGCTAAAATATAAAAAAAAAGATATTTTTTGCTAGGGCATCAGCATTTGGTTAACCTTTTTTGGTTAAGATTTTGTGAATGGTCATTAACTTCAATACTTACAGTAGTGTAACATTGAAACTTAATGCATAGAGACACCTTGATTTGTTGTACTTGACATCCCTTTAGGTCAAAAGGTCAACGGTCACTTGTGCCTGCAATAACAAAACATAAAATTAGTAATGAAATCAAAGTGCAGTTTACTATTCAGCATTCAAAAAAAAATGAAGCACTGCTCTTGTTCTAAATATAAGGTTTAATATGGTTAAATGAAGAAAAAGGCCTTGCTGGTACTTTATAAAAAGGCATATGGCATGCTTTCACTACCATTGATATAATTAAATAACTTAGGATTTTGAATTATTGACAACTTGAATTTTTATTATTAATATCTGTTATACAGCTGAGAAAATGCATTTTTCATTTATTTTTATTAGCTTTGTGAGCAGCTTCCAGGCAGTGGTCTATCAGGGAATGGGTTCTTCAGTGTTGGAGGTTGTTTAGATGATCTACATGAGCAGATAACTACAGCAACATTGTTTGGAGGTTTAGTTCAAGGCAGAGTTAACTCCCTTGATGTGAAATTAGATTTACCAGAGTTACCTGAAGACCTTGACAGTCAGTAAGTAATCATGGAAAAACGATAGTCCTTTATTTATTTACTTTTTTTACCTGTTTTCTGAAACAATGACAGAAAGCTAATCAAGATATTTTATTAGCTATGTTGTCATATTAGAGACAAGTTGACAAGTTAAATAGAGGATATTTGTTTAGTTCAGTGTAAGATCGGAATATATTTCACCGAGTGAGCACCAAAAGGTATATTTCACGAGTGGCTGAGTGAAATATGAACTTTTGGTGTTCACAAGGTGAAATATATTTCGATCTTACACTAAACTAAACAAATTTTCTTTTGATTATATGCAAAGAAATGTTTTAAAAAGACATTAAACCTAATACTGAATGAAAAGCGCGCCAAATAATAATACAACGTGACGTCATTTAGGACGTCACATCATTAAGTTGGTACCCAGTTCTGTGCACGCTGGTATTTCACTCTAACAACGTAAGGGGCTTAAATTCAAAACAGTGAAATTATCAAATTGGTAATTTCACTGTTTCAGACAGTGAAATTACCAGTTTTATATCACGGATATATTTCTATAAACCACCGAAAAGCATGCAATAAACATGTTTTTATATTTTGATGAACTGATAGGTCATAAAACAGATAGAAAACAAAAACATGATTTAAACAGGTATAAATGTCTGTGTCCAATTAAGGATTACACAAAAGATAATTGAAACAAAATTTTCATTTTAATGAAAAATATAAAAAATTTTGGGTTCCCTGTTTAATTGATATAAATAAGTTTTATTATGTTTTCTAAAAGCATGTTAAGTATAGCTTGAGAGGCATTCATGACAAAGTGATTAAGGTTATTGACTTTAAATCATTTGCGCTTCACTGCTGTGAATCAAATTCCACTTTTGACTTTGGATTTTAGCTCATCTGTCACAAAGTGACAGGGTGAGCTTTTGTGATCGCATTTTGTCCGGCGTCCGCCCGTAAACTTTTACTTTAAATGACATCTCCTCATAAACCACTAAGCCAATTTCATCCAAACTTCACAGGAATGTTCCTTTGGTGGTCACCTTTAAAAATTGTTCAAAGAATTTAATTCCATGCAGAACTCTGGTTGCAATGGCAACCGAAAGAAAAAACTTTAAATATCTTCTTATAAAAAACCCAAAGAGCTAGAGTTTAGATATTTGGCATGAAACATCTTCTAGTGAGTGTCTACCAAGTTTGTTCAAATAAAAGCCCTGGGGTCAAAATTGGCCCCGCCCCAGGGGGTCATTGAGTTTTCCTTTATGCATATAGTAAAAACTTAAAAAATCTTCTTTTAAAGAACTCAAAGAGCTAGAGCTAAGATATTTAGCATGAAACATGTTCTAATGGGTGTCAACCAAGTTTGTTCAAATAAAAGCCCTGGGGTCAAAATTGGCCCCGCCCCAGGGGGTCATTGATTTTCCTTATATGTATATAGCAAAAACTTAAAAAATCTTCTTTGAAAAAACCCAAATAGCTAGAGTTTAGATATTAAGCATGAAACATCTTCTAGTAAGTGTCCACAAAGTTTGTTCAAATAAAGGCCCTGGGGTCAAAACTGGCCCCGCCCCAGGGGTGTCTTTTTTTTTTACTATATGTGTACAGTAAAAAAAACTTAAAAAATCTTCTTTTAATAAACCCAATGAACTAGAGCTTAGATGTTTAGCATGAAACATCTGCTTATAGGTGTCTACCAAGTTTGTTCAAATAAAAGCCCATGGGTTAAAATTGGCCCTGTCTGGGGGGGGTGGGGGAGAAGGAGAAGTGAAGATTTGTGTTTTTCATTATATGTGTGTAGTAAAAACTTAACATCATGAAACATCTTCTAATGGGTGTCTTCCAGGTTTGTTCAAATAAAAGCCCTGGGGTTTAAACTGGACCCGCTCTGGGGGGCCTATATACAGGTGAGCGACCTCAGGGCCATCATGGCCCCCTTGTTTTGTGTAAGCACGCTATCAGGTGCCTGATCGTGTCAGATAATGCAAAGATTGGACCCTAATGGCTTCCTTCACCTGGTAAAACTGGAAAGTATAAGTTACTTTAATGTGACATTGTTTTTATGACAGTATTTTTTTTTTACAGTTTACTAGAGACGAGAATTCCCAAGTCAATTTCATCATACAGTAATGTAAGTATATCACATACATGTACAATGCAACAGTAGTGAACAATATATAGTGGGTTTTTTCTTCATCCCTAAAAATATTTTGCAGTTCAAATGATGAAATAAGTTTAATCCGTGATTTTTTTGTTTGTAAACATTAAGAACTGTTTAATATAATTACTTAATAAATTCTTCTTTTTTTACCCATGTTTGTAAAGAAGCCTTCTTTGTTTATATAGAAAAAATTCAGATAGTGTTAGAATGTTAATTTTTTACATGATTTTCAATGTGAGTGAATCATGGTACTAGGGAACTGTGGGTATTTTAATTACAACTTCTAACACCTGGCTGTGTAAGGAAATTGATTGTTTAGCTCAATGGTCTAGTACATTGCATTAACTTCATTGTATGTATGCTATAGAATGTGAGTTATAATCCTTCATGGAAGGAGATTTTTTCTTTTACAAAGAATTTTTATGTGACAAGATTAGAATGGTTGTAATATATATATATATGATATTGAATGAGTGTAGATTTAATACTAAATTTATTCAACGAGTTCCATAAATTTAGCATTGAATCTACACGAATACAAATATTCTATATTTATCACATGTCTAAAAAAGAGCGGTTTTCAGATAAAAAGAGTAATTGTTAGTTGATGCTCTCTTTAACGCTATGTTTGTATATATTGCCAGTGACATTATTATTACTAGCGAATTGCTAGTGTAATATCTTTTTTTTAAATGGTTTTTTTTTACACTCCTGTGCGTGGTTATTGATAAGTAGATAAACTACACTGACTTGAAGTAGGGATTTGCTAGGTATATTGTATCAAATTGAATTAATTATGAAACAGTTATTTATCCCTTAAATTTGCATGATTCATTGATCCATTTATCTTGAAAACAATCTAATTTACTACCCCACTTTTAGTACTATTGGGCATGAAGGTCATTATAGGCATTAAATTTCTATTTGTTGCCTGTTTTCTTATGCTACATGTGTAATTGTTGATATAATAACAATACAGGATTTGGTTGACGAAGGATTCAAATCACAGGAGGAGAGTTTAACCAGCTCAACAACAGGTGATGAGGGAGGGGATGATGTATCATTTGATTCGGTGTACCAGTCAGATTATGATACCAGTATATATGAGACATGTCTTACAGAAACAATATCACAATACTATACCTGGGAAACTGTTGGACTGTAAGCTATCTATATATACATTTGTGGATTATATTCTGAATCTCACATGCTCATATTTTCTTACTTTGTTTTAGAAATATTCCCATTTTTTCCTTGTTTTTCACAAACGCTTTTTGTATTCATATTTTTTCAAAATTGATCCTAGTATTTATTGTTTTTACATAGAGCTACTAAGAATTTTATTGTTTGATTTGTTTTCTCTGTATGATATGTTAAGAATTGTTAGTACCTTCAGTCTGCATGTAAACAGAGTGGCGGCGTGGCCGAGTGGTTTATGTGTCAGACTAGTAATCTAAGGATTGCTGACTGCATAAGAACCAACCATGTCAGGGGCAAGCCATTGTTTCCTTGAGCAAAAAGAAATTAACATTCATTGCTTAGTACTGGTTGGTTCCATTAAGGGATTGGAGAGTTTTTGTAAAAGCTTATAGCTTCCAACTAAAATAAATTTGTATGAACTAATTGATAAAAGAGGACTTTAAAGCATTTGGATAAGAAAAGGAGAAATCTTATGACAATTCGGTATGATGTAGGCAGACCATTATGCTTAAAACATATACTTTTCAGCAATAAAGACATTTTCAATATATTTGATAATGTCTATAAAGAAATTATGTAAAAATATTTATTTATTTATTTATTCATTTATTTATTATCTAAATAAGTCATACATGTACATGATGTTTTTAATATCTGGCAATAGTATTTATAATACTGATGTCTTTTTATTATAGTGGACCAGGTCCTAGAACAAAGCCATATTTAACAGAAGCAGGCCCTGAAGCCTTTGACCACCTAAATAAGACGATACTGAAAAATTTAGCGACTGCCTTCCCGTCTGTCCGTGTGTGTCCACGGGAAGAGATAAGCCAGGATGAACTTGTGAAGGAGATTTTAAATGTAATGATTGCAGTACCGTCTGTAAACTTCATATTAGATATTGTAAGTTGTTATTGTGTTTTTTTGAAAATCATTATTGTAGAGGATATTTTAAATGTTATTCACCTTTCATTTATTCTGGAAAGTTGTTTTGAGAAAGAAAATTTTAAACATTAATGATTTTGATTCTGTGAAGTTCATGTTGGATTTGGTAAGTCTATAGCTAAATGCTGTATATAAATATAAAAAGATACAGTTATCGCAATACTTTTCAAGATTTAGCAGGTTATCAATTATGCTATATAAATTTCTTTCTTTTCTTTACTGACCCAATTGTTAGCATTGGCATATTGTTTTATTAAAATTTTCCAAGAAGATTCATATTTTATCAACCATTGAAATTATGCACATGAAATTTCACAAATTTATATCTTTGGGATCATAAATGTTGTTGCAATATATAATCATGGATGCCTTTGGTCCCTTCTCCTGAAATAAAAGCTGAAAAGAAGTCTTGTGATCTCGACAGCGCCTGGGTGGCTGAAGGCAAAAAATAGTCATTGAAATTGTTTTCAAATGTTGAAAGATTTTAATTCACCATATTTACAGTCTCTTTTCTCTTTTAAGGAGTCTTTTGCAGGTAACAAAAAAAAAAATGTTTTTGTCAGTCAAAAATGATTGTTTTCTCTGTTAAACAGTACACCGGTTTTCTCAGGTAAACTGTACACTGTATTTTATATGTACTTTGCAGACAGACCAGTGTTTTACTATGCGGGAAGGCCTGTATGTTACTGGAATATCTGCTGAGGCATTACAGAATCTACTTGATGATTTCCTCACATGTGGCATGTACTTCTACAGACTTGGACTTTTTTCTTCTTCACCTGTCATCAACTCTTTTTACAGTGCTGGACTGACATTCCATGCTTTCACAGGTAAAATTATTGAAATTGCAGGAAATGAATAAAGTAAATTGTGTTTAATTGATATTTTTTACAAAATGATATGATGCCCTTACTTTTCGTTGAAAGATAAGTGACCAATTTTAAATAGTTCATTATTTTACAACATTGAATGTTTAAAAAAAAAAACAACACCTGTAAACACACTTTTTGGACAGATTTTATCTGAAACAATTACCATCACCAGCTTTTTTTAAGCATTCATTTATATAAAAAAAGGAGAAGAAAAAACCTACTTTGTTACTGAAATGCTTAAAGATTCATACATTGATACACACTTGTCATATTTACTGTTTACTGAGTACTTTTGTAATGAAGGAGAAGAAAAACTAAACAAAGTGGAAATATAGAAAATTGTTTTATTTTGTCTTAACTTTCAGGAGCTGTACATTCAGTGTTACATTATTACAGTGGGGTAATATTGTCAATAGGTGAAGGTAAAACTCTTCTACAACTGAGAGTAGCCTATCATAAATTGTTACAGGAAATCAGGTGTGTGTGTATAACTGTATATTCTTTAAAAGTGAATGATTGGTGATGATTATAGACTTACCTTATATACCTTTAGTCACATACAATACAAGTTTGTATGAGGAAAATGTTGTTGTGTTAGAAATTGGGTATTTTCAAATATTACAGATTATTTTATTCTATCTATGTAGCTTCAGCTGGCACATCCATGTTGTCTGATCTTGGTCTGCTTTGTCCGCTTTCAGTCAGTACATATTTCAAAATTGTCCAAAAAAAATGATTTCTGGTTTTGTTAATAAAGGACTGTTCTTGCAGGGAATATTTCAGTTTTACAATGGTGTTATAAATGGTTTCAATTTCAATGTAATCTCATATTGTGTAAATCCAGTCTAAATACACAGAAGGGAAGGTTAACCTGACTTCAAATTGCTGGCAAAGGCTAAACATCTTCAACCCTAACATGCAAAGAAATGATACTGTCAATGCTGTATGAATAATTGTCTATGTAGAACAAATATATAGAATATGCTGCTATTTACTAAATTTAATCAGATTATATTAAAGCAAATTGATTGACAATCTCTTAAGAAAGCCTGCTGGCCCATTTCTCCAAAATTGTGTTTATATTAATAATCACCTTTTAGTTGATTTGTACTTGAATGTCAAAAAGTGATTACCTGAAAATGAACAAAAATAGAGAACATCATCAAAATTGAAGAAAAGACATTTAGAATCTTTTGTATTTGAAGGGTTATTTTCCTTTTCTGTTTTCATTCTTTAATATTCTTAGATAATCATACCCATTTCATTCTTAAGTTTTGGCAGAGAGTAAATTTAAGGTAAATAGTTCTAGGAAACTTTGATCAAGTTGTTAGACATTTTTTGATATTTTCAGGTTCTTGGCATGTTTATGTGGTTGTGATAATCCGGTAACTGAGGAGACAAAATCCAAATTCCTTACTGTAAGTACTTACATTTAACATCACTAAACTTTGGGTGGCATGTTATATTAGATTTATTTTGGCACTATGTATATACTTTGCCTACAGAATTGTAATTAACTGTTATTATATCAGTAATTATTAGTCCCCTTCCGGTTTACCGGAGGGGACTTTAGGTTTACCCTCTGTCCGTATGTCCGTCCGTCAGTCCGTCCGTCAGTCCGTCCGTCCACAAAACTGGATCCTGCGATAACTTGAAAAGTACTGAAAATATTTTTATGAAACTTGGTATATGGATAGATGGCAGTATGGAGATTATGCACGTCTTTTTCTTTTCTTCCTATGTTGAAAATTCTGGTTGCTATGGCAACAAATAGGCTGAAAATATGGCAAATTTTACACATAAACTGGATCCAGTGATAACGCAAAAAGTACTTTAAATATATTTATGAAACTTGACATATGGGTAGATGGCAGTCTTGGGATTATGCACGTCTTTTCTTTTCTTCCTATGTTGAAAATTCTGGTTGCTATGGCAACAAATAGGCTGAAAATATTGCAAATTTTACACATAAACTGGATCCAGTGATAAAGCAAAAAGTACTGGAAATATTTTTATGAAACTTGACATATGGGTAGATGACAGTCTTGAGATTATGCACGTCTTTTTCTTTTCTTCCTATGTTGAGAATTCTGGTTTCTATGGCAACAAATAGGCTGAAATTATGGCAAATTTTACACATAAACTGGATCCAGTGATAAAGCAAAAAGTACTGGAAATATTTTTATGAAACTTGACATAATTATGGGTAGATGGCAGTCTTGAGATTATGCAAGTCTTTTTCTTTTCTTCCTATGTTGAGAATTCTGGTTGCTATGGCAACACATAGACTGAAAATATGGCAAATTTTACACATAAACTGAATCCAGTGATAACTCAAAAAACTGGAAATATTTTAATGAAACTTGACATATGGGTAGATAGCAGTCTTGAGATTATGCATGTCTTATCTGTTCTTCCTATTTTGAAAAAATATCAGTTGCCTTGGCAACAAATAGGCTTAAAACATAGCAAATATAACAATATTTGTGATTAGTCAAAAAGAGCTGAAAATTTTTATGAAATTGCATCTTTAATTCAAGAGTTATCTCCGCTTTAAGAATTATGCTTTTAAATGTTATATTTTGGTAACAGGGATGTTTTAAATATTAACTTTAGAGTGTCCTTCAGTCCGTCTGTCTTTCTGTTCATAAAAACTGTTTCCTGTGATCACTTTTAAAGAACTTTTCCAACAAGTTTACTTAAAATGGAGAAAAATTGAAACATTAGTGAATGGCCAATGGCCCTTCAGAATGTTGATGGGGTTCTAACCGGTAGGGGACTTATGGATTGCTTGCAATACTATGATAATTGCTTGTATTTTTAATGATTACCTTAACTGAACCACCTGTATTTATTGTCTTAATGGAATACTATTTCTGAGCTATATTTACTTATAGATTGGTAAATACTTTTACCGAACTACCTGTGCTCATATTTTAATGATAAAATCTTTACTGAGCTTTTTGAAGGAATTTATTTCTTTACATATTTTGAGTTAATGTATATTATGAATAAATGTACATGTATATTATAACTAATATGTTTCTAGGGAATACCTTTACTGAGCTACCTGTATAGCGAGACAGTAGAAGCTTCATTTACAGACCACTACCCTCTCATGTTGTCTTTATTGAAACAAACCTGTACACCATACCTGTTGTAAGTATAAATTAACTAATACTGTATATTGGACTTGCCTTTCTTTAGTATAGTTTATATAAATTTATTTTACTTCGATTGTGTTGGAAGCTATAAGCTTATTGAAACACTCTTGAATCCATTTCTGGAACCAACAAATACTATGCAATAAATGTAAAGTTTCTTGCTTATGGAAACAACTGCTTGCCTCTGACAGGGTTTGAACCCATGCCTTGCTTTGAACTGCAAATGTTGCAATTACATAATGAATATTTGATTGTTTGCTGAAATGTTGATGAAATTCCTGAAAGGTGGGAAAGCTTTTTAATAGGCTAATGGGAGTTCTTTAAATGTTAAAGTTCTTTCTATGTTAAAATATCATCCTTTTTTGGTAGAAATATGCAGATTTTTTTTCTCATAAAAAACTTGGTTTTATGACAATTTCTCCTCTTTCTCCCCATATAGGTATATACAGGATTGGGTGTATCATGGTTTATTCCGAGATAACTATGGCGAGTTTATGGTGCAAGTGAATGATGACTTTCTACAGTTTAAAGGTAATTCATGATTATTACTTTATCTGAAAAGTAAAATTTAGAGAAAAGTAAATTTTACAAGGTGTATTTCTATATTTTTCTTTGGGTTTTGGGGTTGTTTATTTCACATTAACAAGTTCTGTAAAGAAAATAACCACCAAAACTATCACACAATCATTTGTTGCTTGTCTATATATAGCAGATGTAATTGTCACATGCTTAAGTCTATGTCATTGTGATTGAGATTTTTGTAACAGTGACACCCATTTGAGATATTGCTGTTAGTTCAATAGGTAGAGAGTTGGACTTTGAATCAGGCGACCCGGGTAAACTACCGACACCACCACTACTATGTAAATGGTCATCATTGCCCTTTTGCTAGAGGAAATATGGCTGTTCATTGCAAGAGCTTTCCTTACTTATATTTGAATGTACATTATATTGTGTTTCTGTTATCTATATTTAGATAAGAGATATTGGACACAGGGCTATTCACTGGGTACTGGCAGGGTTGAAGAGAGTGTTCCGTTGTTCCTTAAAGAGCTGGCAAATGACATCTTCCTGTGTGGAAAGTCCATCAACCTCCTCAAAGCTTGTAAAAGAGATGTAAGATTTTTATCATCTATCCTAGAAAGTTTTGTGATCTGATCACTGTATATCATTTTGTGTAAGGTTATGGTCAAAGTTCAAAGTTTTATCAATTGAAAAGCTGGTGTAGGCTGTTGCCATCTTAAGAGAATAAACCTAATTCTGTAATTTTGTCTGCAGGATCTTTTGTTTAATTCTTGAACTATTGGCAGCCATTCTTGTTTTTCTTATTTCAAACCTTTTTTATATTTTCATTTTGATTTTACTGTAAGCTGTACTATGAGAAGGTTTGAAAGTTATTTTTTCTGACAAAGTCATCGATATCAAATATTGTAACTCTAACCTTGTTCAGTACCTTAATTAGGTAATTTTTACTTTCATTTTATCCTTAGAAATTTATATTATTGATAAATTGAATCATAGTAATAGTTCCTCAGTGTTGTATACTTAGATAAATACAATATATTTTATTTCAGCATTTTCTGTGCAATGTTGATGACAATGATATTCCAAAGATAACTCTTACTTTCTCTGAGAGAGAGTTACGTACCTTGACTGATCAATGTATTATATATGCTAACCGGATGAAACAGATCTCCAGACAGCTTACGATATCAAGGTAAATATTATGACATAATTAAAGTATACAGAGAACTGTTTTTAACCAGTAAACTACTGCAATAGCTTGAAAATAATTTTGAGCCCCACTTTCCAATTGAAAGATGTGGGTTTTGCAATGATTTTTCTTTAATGGTAAATATTTTTTTATATAGTTGAGCTATTACAAGTGCCTTATTACTTGGAATATTCATGTTTTGTGATGCGAGCAATCTGTAGCAAAGGGGCAGTATATTGTGTCAGATACTTCCTAAAGCTACATGTTGAATAACTTAAAACTGACAATCCTTAGTTTTGGAACTAACAACTTAACTTGTATTATAACACTTTTTCAGACAAGAAATGAAAGAGAGAGCTAAAAGAGCCAAAGATCAGTTACTGGTTCTTGCTAGACAAACACAGGCAGCTGAAGTGAAACGTATTGAAGGTATAAATTATACTTAGTTTCTTAGATATGTTTCTGTGTATACCTAGTTATAGATGAAGAATGGGCTACCATTGATTAACCCCTTCTGATTGGCCATTTGGTTTAGAGCTACTAGGATGGCCTGCACATCTGTGCAGTCTGGCCCATAATACTGTTGGAAGACTATCTGTAACGTTTCATACATGTATCCGCAATAATTGATAATATACAGGTCCAGATCTGGAAGCTGCCATAATCTTGTATTAAGAATATTGAAGTCGCATTAGTGATACTAGATGAATTTGTTTTGTATGAGCATATTGAATTCTCTAAAAAAGAATTCTAAATTCTTGAAAAGCACTTTTCATAAAATGTACTCAAAGAAATTATTCTGTCTTTATCTGAAGGGTCATTCTAGCAAGGTTTGTTGTTTTACAGTTATAGGTAATTAATTATAGTTTAGGTTATATTCTGCCACTGTTCAAGATTGATGTTAAATAGGTAATTATTAGAATTGTCAACTGAATTTTAGAAAGTCAGGCCACTTTGAAATGTTAAGTAGATAACTTTTAAGAATTGTCAGCAGAAAAATGACAGTCCAACTTCTTGGAAAATGATAACAAACTGAACCAATGAAAAAAGAATGTTGAAATTCTATCTAAATCAGAAAGAAGAAAGTTGATATTTATAATTGTTTTTTGTGTTTGTAGATAATATTAAAGAGAGGAGAAAGGCAGTGGCTGCAAAGAAGAAAAAAGAGTTAACTTTCCTGAAAAACCAGATGGAAAATGACCTTAAAGTGAGAAACTCTTTAAAAAAATACTTTTGTAATCTATTATTTATTGTATATTTCTACATATAGGTTCTACAGTAATAATTGTTAGTGATAAGTTTCAATTCAAATCGACTGCGTAAAAAAGATATATGCACTATGCTTCAATTTTAGATTTTACTAGAATTTTCATTACAAGACTTGAGTTTAGCCATTCTAGTGATAATACTGCAAAGTTACAAAATTATTTCAGTGTCGGATAGCTTCTAATTAGGATTTTTTTATGTATTAATAGTGACTTTAAAATCATCATGAACATTTAATAAAGATAGCTTCATATAATGATAAACTTTCCCTAGACTTGTTTAAAATCTATCCAGCCAGCTTACAGAAGGTTGGTGATTATACTTAGGTGTTCGCTTATACATAAAAAATTTCAGTAAGAGACAGCTGAGGTTTTCAACCACCAGTAAAGCAGGATAGTGGCAATAATACCTTAACACTGCCAGTGTTACTTTAACAAGTTCAACAATACAAAAAAAAAATTGTTGCAAATAGCTATAAATAAAATAAAAACTGATATGAATTTATTTATAGCGTCGGGCAGAAAAGAAGGTGACAGCGTTAAAGGAAGATAAGGATTATATGGACAGTGTAACAAACAGAGAAAATATGATGGATGAGGAGGAACTAGAACTAGAGAGACAAGCTAGGTATAAAACTATATAATGTCTGCTAGGTACAAAACTATATAACATCTGATAGGTATAAAACAATGTAATATCTGATAGGTATAAGACAATATAACATCTGCTAGGTATATAACATATGATAGGTATAAAACAATATAATATCTGATAGATATAAAATAATATAATGTCTGCTAGGTATAAAACAATATAACACCGGATAGGTATATATCAATATAACAAATGATAGGTATAAAACAATATAATATCTGATAGGTATAAAACACTATAATGTCTGATATGTATATAAAACAATAAAACATATGTTAGGTATAAAACAATATAACATCTGATAGGTATAAAACTATATAATGTCTGATAGGTATAAAACAATATAACATATGTTAGGTATAAAATACATGTAATATAACATCTGATAGGTATAAAACTATAAAAACATCTGATAGGTATAAAACAATATAACATCTGCTAGGTATAAAACCATATAACATCAAATAGGTATATAACAATAATATAGGTATAAAACAATATAACATCTGCTAGGTATAAAACAATATAACTTCTGATAGGTATATAACAATATAACATCTGCTAGATATAAAATAATATAACATCTGCTAGATATAAAATGATATAACATCTGCTAGGTATATAACAATAATATAGGAATAAAACAATATAACATTCCTTAGTTGGCATTGACAGAATAAATCTCTTTTTGAAATAAATGTTATATTTGTTATATTCATGTCTGCTTTTGAAGAATTAAACCTGTCAAGGCTCAAATTTTAGATTGGACTTGCTCAGTTCCAAATTGTGTTCTGTATTGTACAGAATACTTAAAATTGATGATCTGTTTAATCTATGACTATTAATCTATGACTATTTTGTTATAATAGCATTTGTATATGTACATCCCTTAAACATGAAACTCTCTTAAATAAATATCTATTGATCTGGTTTATAAGGAAGACTATGTAACTATAATATATAGAAAGTCAGATAGAGTCTTACTGGCTGGTCCAATATTTTGGACTTTATCATAATGTTAGAATGTGTAGATTTATCTGTACAAATGTAGAAAATTAGAGAAGTATTTTGAATGCACCTGCGCACAATTACTACAATAGATTTGTACAGTCATGTGATGTAAGGAAGCTTTGCGATTGGCTAGATAAAATAGATATAGAATAATAAATGTGTAATATATTGCAGGGAGGAAGTAATAGAGTACTACAGTAAGTTGAGTGCCGAGGCCTCAAAGAGAGAACAGAAAGCTTTATGGCGTATACGACGAGCCAAACTCGATATTAAAAGGACAGAATATCTTCTACAAGAAGAGAGAAATCTTGCTGTGGAATTGGAGAAAATGAAATCAGATCCGGTACAGTTTTATAATATATATTTCATTTGGATGATATTATTTCTTTTGATATAATATTTAAATAGTTGTTGAGACACTTAAAGTGAATTGGGCACATTTTCCATATTAAGAGTATTTCAAATATTGATAAAAAAAATACAATTGTAGCATTTGGATATCCTTAGAAAATGTTGCTTGAAAAAAAAATGTTGACAAAGTTCTAAGTGATTCAGAATGGCCATTTATTTGATGAATAATTATATTTTGTTCTATCTGCTATATAGATATATGTAATATCAGATCATATATCTCACACTTTCCAACAACTTCCATGTATAATTCTTTCCTGGTTTGTGTTATGTCTAATACTAAATACTATCAAGGTAATAGTGATACAGATCTTACATTGTAGACCAAATTCACTTTAATGCTTTTGATCCTATACAATGTACTTGGTGTGTCCTAATTGACTTCAACTGTTTAAAGGCCTATTTTAATAAATGAGTGTATTTTAGGTTTTTGCCCTCTACTATACAATGCGGAAAATTCCTTTTGATATTTAGTTTGATAGATGTAGACTTGTTTTATGATATTCTCACACTCTTGTTAGATGATGTTTGATTTATTTATTCTTTAACCTTATTGACAAAGACATAAAAAATACTTTTTTTATTGCAGTCTGGGATGGAAACAAGTCATACGCTGACAGTTCGCCCTGCTAGCCCTACATTGCCAAGATGGGCAAGAAAAGGCCTTCATGGACCTACAATTGAGGTGATTGATGACGGAGAACAAGATGATGGGGAACCTAAACTGGAAGGGGAAGACAAAAATCTCCCTAAATGGGCTCAGAAAGGATTGGAAAAGTATGTGTTTCAAAGCTTCTTTAAAAACTGTTACAGACAAATACGATGAAATGCGCGTGTGCGTGTGATAGGTTTACTTTAAACATATTATTTTAAGCTTGATTGCAATACAAGTTCTTGCAACTTATATTAATCACTTTTGAGTCTGCTTCCTGAAACCAACTGGTACTTGTGTCATATGAAGAAACATCATTGTGACTGGAGTAGACCTTGAACCCATGAGACCTGGGTTGAGAGGCAGACACCGTAAACTTTAGACCACCACTCCACTACCTGGTAATGTATGGTCTCTACCTGCAACTCATACTGGTTACTCTGACTAGAAAACTGTTCTTAATTTTGGGATCATTGTTGTGACCCCTGGATTTGAAGTCAAAGAGTGTTAACACTTGACTACTTGGCACTGTTTAAACTCTGTCATCCATGTATGTTACTTCTATTTCTTTTGTTATAACAGGTATGGTATTAAGTTGAAGAGTCCAAGCCTGCCTAAAAAGAGTCCATCCCCAAAGAAATCTCCGATGCAACCTATGACCCCACGTGGAGGAAGAAGTACACCGGCACGGAGAAGTTTGAACTCGTCATTTCATGTCAATGATGAGACGGAGGAGGTGGTCTCTAAACCCAGTATTCAGGTAGTGCCATTTTATAACATAGTAAATGACCTAGAAACAGTTATTCTCAAATGTTCCTGAAGAAGTAGAGCATCAAGCAGAAGTTAAACATAATTATTTCTGCCAGTATGAATACCACTGAGTATGTTCAAATGTTACTTAAAGTGAGGTCTGTTTTGTAACACCTGGCTACTTACTACATGTATTTAGTTATTTTTATTCAATCTATTAAGATCTTTGAATAAATGGCATGCTGACCTTTTAAAAACTTGTGATGAGATTCGTTTAAAAAATTGTTTGGATACAGTTTTTGTTCGGTTTCTAATTTACGCATATAATTTTTTCTGGCTTTTCTGTGATTTTATTATAACTTTCCTGTCACATATATGTACTACAGCATCCTTAATTTTTTAATTAGTCCCCTACCGGTTTACCGGAGGGGACTTTAGGTTTACCCTCCGTCCGTCTGTCCGTCCGTCCGTCTGTCCGTCCGTCAGTCCGTCCGTCCACAAAACTGGATCCCGCGATAACGCAAAAACTACTGAAAATATTTTAATGAAACTTGATATATGGATAGATGGCAGTATGGAGATTATGCACGTCTTTTTCTTTTCTTCCTATCTTGAAAATTCTGGTTGCTATGGCAACAAATAGACTGAAAATATGGCAAATTTTACACATAACCTGGATCCCGCAATAACGCAAAAAGTACTGAAAATATTTTTATGAAACTTGATATATGGATAGATGGCAGTATGGAGATTATGCACGTTTTTTTCTTTTCTTCCTATGTTGAAAATTCTGGTTGCTATGGCAACAAATAGACTGAAAATATGGCAAATTTTACACATAACCTGGATCCAGTGATAACACAAAAAGTACTGAAAATATGTTTATGAAACTTGACATATGGGTAGATGGCAGTATGGAAATTATGCACATCCTTTTCTTATCTTCCTATGTTGAAAATTCTGGTTGCTATGGCAACAAATAGACTGAATTTCAAGATTTCTGATTCTAGTTTTTAAGTTTTTTCACTATAAGTTCTTTATTTCTTAAGGTATTTTCTTCAAACTTTAAATATAAGTTGCTTGTCATCAACCACATCATATGTGACAAGGTTTACAACTCTAGCACAAAATTTATCAGAATTACCTCCCTTGAACTTAAAATTTTCATGAAAAAAACATTGTTTTTTTTAATAACTTCTTTTTCTGAATGTATCTACTTCAAACTTCATATAAATGTTTCTTATTATCACTCAACATTTGTGAGTGTTCAATACTCTAGCAAGACTATTTCCAGAATTATGCCCCTTTTGAACTTAGACTTTTTTTTGAGAAATTGGTAACTTTTTACTCCAACTTCTTCAATCATGATAGGACTTTAAAAATGTTATATTTTGATAGCAGGGATGTTTAAAAAACAACTTTAGAGTGTCCTTCAGTCCGTCTGTCTGTACATAAAAACTGTTTCCTGTGATCACTTTTAAAGAACTTTTTCAACAAATTTACTTAAAATAGGAACCTAAGTGAATGGCCAATGGCCCTTCAGAATGTTGCTTGGGCTCCTACCGGTAGGGGACTTATGGATTGCTTGCAATACTATGATAATTGCTTGTTTTTTTTGTATTTCAAATTGATGAAATTTTTCATTGCAGACATTTGAGAATAGACATGCTACTAAAGAATCGGAGCTAGAGGAGGAAGAAGTTGCCAAACCACATGTCAAAATGGTAGGCGACCATCATGCTTCCAAAGAAACTGTTGATGAGAAGATCCATCCTCACATTAAAACTGTCTCAGATAAACACATTTCCCAACAAAGTAAACCAGAAGCTGAATCTCGACCACACATCCGGTCTTACGATGACCGACATGCCAACAAACTTTCAGATGAACCAGATTATGATGGCTTACCTAAGCTTAAACTTGGCGTAATGCAGTCATCGACTGAATCCAAGCCTATGGAATGGAAAATTAAGAAACAGAATGTATTCGGTCATGTGTCTGAGATCAGTAACTCGTATGATTTTAATGTTCCAAGACTGAAAAAATCTGCTGTAATGTCAGCTCATAGAGAATCAGACTGGTCTACTGATTTTGCAATAAAACCAAGAATTAGAATCAACAGGAAACAAACTGCAAATACACAGTCTGAGGAAGAACAGACTCACAGAGTGGGGACAAAAATGAGCAACACTATGTCTGCCACAAAAGAGTCAGAATATATAGATTATGAACAGAAACGAGTACAAATGTTTAAGGAGAGAAATCTGTATGGTCATGCCACAAACTCAAGTGTTGAACGACTTTTGTATGATGGACAGTTTGGCAATAAGGCAAAAGACACTGATCTAGAGGGTTTGTATGCATGTATATATGTATATGTTGTAGAATCAATAATATTACCTGAAATTTCATGATTATCTCATTTATCTCCCTCTATTCATATATTTCAAAATATTGTGCGAAGGAAATGTTTTGAGATAATGTTACATCTTACATATCATCATTAAGGACTCCCGACTTCACATGGGTCACATCCCATTTGCATGGGTCTGGAAATTTAAAATCTTACTTTTGGATGTTAAGGTAAGATTTTTTTATGTTTGAATCAAAGGACATCCCTTAAGAGATAGAAGGAGGAACATATTGTGAGCAACCTGTCTGTCTATGGGCAAATTAAACCTTGGCCATATCATGATCATACTTTAAGCTAAAGCCCTCATGTTTAGACAACTTTTTTCTGGACTACCACATTATTGGAATAGATGTTAGAATGACTTTTACACCTTATCTAACTTTAATATTCTAAGGAAAACTTGCATCATTTCAACGAATTACCATTGTATTTTATGTTCACATCTTGTCAGCTAAAATATTTGTGTTGAATATTAAGACACTTATTAAACATTATGATATTATAGTTTCAGAACTTCGAATTATTCCAAAGTTAGAAGAGATAGAATGGTTGACTAGTGAAGTTGAAAAATACCAGGATGACTTTGATATTCTTAGTATGTATTTTATATAAATATTAGATATAGAATTTATTTTTGTTGAACACCTTATTCAATTTTAAATCTGCCAGTAGCCAAGTTTGTGTATGAGGTTTGTTTTGCTTTCAGCTTGTATCTGCATTATGTGTTGTTAGTTTTAGAGATTTCATCACGATAATATTATTGTGATACAAACATTGTATACTGGCTGGTTTATCTTTATTTTCTTGACATTGAGAAGTTACTCTTACTACTTGTGTTTAGAAAGTTACTTTTTACCCTGACCCTTTCAGAATAGAAAGTGGTTAGTAATGAAAAGCTAGGCCAACCTGCACATCCCTACACTCTGAGCATGCTGTTTAACCCCAATATTGATAATGGATAGTTCCGAAAATGAAGATGGACAAGTTCATTACAAAAATTCTGCAGGTTTGGGTTTTAATTGAAATAATATAGACTGTATCAACATTTATCTCAATTTCAGACAAGCCTCCAAGAGTAGATTTGTTATCCAGTCTGTCTGGTATACAATATGGAAGCATTGGTAATTATGAGGGTTACCATGGTGATATTGAAGGTTACCAGTATCTACCACTGAAAACTGTCATTAAATCATCTATAACATCAGCTTTGGAGACACAGTAAGTGTGATGTTTGTGTCATTCTAAAATCATATCATAAGAAATTGGCTCATAGATTTTGCATTATAATTTGTGTAAAATTATAAGGAAAAAATAATTTCATACAATTAACATTCCTATCGGCCTCCATGACTGAATGGTTTAAGTTTCCGACTTTGAATCACTTTCCCTTTGAATCATGAAGTTTCTAGATGGTTAATTTTGAGTGTCGGAGTGCTGAATGCTCCATTTTGGGTCATCCACGACTTGAGTGGTTAAGGTTGTTGACTTCATTAAGGATGTTGGCATCAAACACTTGCCCCTCATCACTTTGGGTTCAATCGTGCCATGTGATGAAGCTATCCAACTAGCTAACAGGATGTCTGTGGTTCTAGTCATTGGCCTGCTCTTGCTTGCAATTATGCATTGAGAGGAACCTGAGGTCTGCCTCTACAAATAATACAGGAAAGTCACAATCAATCAGTGGTCAATTTTAGTATTTTGATATTTAATTCCATTTTACAATGAAATATTCCAAGTTCAAACTAGGCGTCTATTACAATAATTTAGCTAGGTTAGGTGTTATTTCATGATGATTTTTGTGATATATTTCAGAGTATGTTTGGTGAATGAGAATTTGGTGAAATATTTCTTCGGTGAACTTGAGATAGAAGATCATTTTATGGCACTAAGAAGATACCTATGTATGGGGGATGGTGATTTTTCTGAAATACTGTGTGATCTGTTGATGGAAAAGGTTTGTACTGTTGGCAAAATAGAGGGAGCGGGACTGCAAGATTTTGTTATAAGATATTCATTTCTAACAATTACATGAAAATAGGTCATGTAAATCCTATAATTCTGATGCGCCTGCATTAAGGGAAGGACAGCCTGACTAGTGTTTTGACTTCTTATTAAGTAAATTGTAGAGTTATACATATAAATCACTGGCTTGATTTTACCTTTGTACAATAAGTGTGTGTGTATATACATGTATACAGAATTTATGAAATTTGTAATGATAAATGGTAAGGTATTGTCATATAATTTTTACCTTGTCTGTTTTGAAAAATAGTTCTAGCTAAAATGATCCCTGTGTCATCATTATGCAAAAACTTCAGTGTACAGTTATAAAGTTATCAAGATGAAACTTGGAATGCTTGCTTTTAACATTACAAGGTGCATTTGTTAGATAACAGGCATAATTCTGAAAGCTATATTTATGGAGTTATGCCCCTTTTTACTTTGAATTTTTGTCAAAAGTGGTTATTTTAACAAAAGAGCATTAACATCACATGAGGTGCTCTTGTTTGTACTTAAAAACAAATGTTTTTTTGCAATATGATTAACATGAAATGATTTAACAACTTATATTAATGGTTTAAGATTGATATAAAAAGTGTTTTCATGCCTCAACATTAATGAATAGATTTGGGGACATGTTTTCATATTCTTTTGACCTATTTGTCAGTGTATTGCAGATCTTTACATCATAGGATTGAGCTTTCTTACATGTAACAAATTTAGCATTCGTTGTTAAGAATATGAGATAGAAAGCATATAACAGGAACCAATATTAATATTTTACTGTGATAGAGATAGAAAGTGTATAACAGGAACCAATATTAATATTTTACTGTGATATATTTCTCATTGATATATTTAATATGTCATCAAAAATTGATATATTTTTGTATCCTATCTAGAGGAAAAAATCACTTTGTTGTTATTTTCAGTTGGGAACAAATCCACGCCCTCAAGATCTTGTCAATCCGATGTTCCTAAATAACTGTCTCAATAAAGCCGTCCGTCTGTCTGTAAATGCCGATGATAAGTATGCAGATAATGTGAGTTTTATGCACAAGTATCTACCTCGAACCCTCGAACATACATCCCCTGATCTGTTTGACTGTATACAATTACATTATGAGGTAAGAAAAATAATTGTATACAATTAATTAATTAATTGAGATATCTTATTTTAATGAAGTAAGTAAATTGACTGTATACAATTACATTATGAGGTAAGAAAAATAAATTGTAAACAATTAATTAATTAATTGAGATATCTAATTGTAAAACAATTATCCAATGAAGTAGGTAATGGATACAATTAAGTAAGAGATATAATTGTAAATAATTACTTAATGAAATAGGAAAATTGATTGTATACAATGTTACATTTGATGTAAGAAAATGTACTTGTAAACAATGTGGGGTAAAAAAATTGACTGTTTAAGTTTAAAGATATACTATGCTCAGCCTTGATTAAAATACTTTTATTGTAGAAATTTATTAAAATCTGTGAAATCGTTACTAAATATGTCTAATTTGAATAAAAGAATGTACATGTACAAACTATGTATAGCAAGCTACATTTGCTAGTTGTAAATCTTTATGTCATATTTCCAAAATACTGAAATACACAAATAGATTTTAATATGTATGAATCCTTCATAATCATTTCTTAAAATCCTGAAGAAAACAGCAGAATAAAAAAGACTTTTATTAGTCGCATTACATTTCGCTGGAATATTATCTCTTTTTCTTCTACAGTAACAAACAATGATTTACACATATATTTGTTATTTTACAGGTGAAATGGCCGTTAAACATTGTGATTACAGAAAACAGTTTACACAAGTATGCCCAGGTGTTCTCCTTTATGTTACAACTAAAAAGAGTAGTCTGGGTACTTAAAGATATATGGAACAAACTTAAAAGAGATGGTAATATTTTTTATCTCTTGAACCTACATTTTCAGGAATTTTTGTTAGATAGATTGTCCTTAAATATTATTGTCACCTTTAAAATAAATACCATTGTTTCTTGCTTTTTATACGCCCGTTTGAAAAACGGGACATATTATGGGAACGCCCCGGGCGGGCGGCGTCCAATTTTGTCCGGAGCATATCTCCTACATGTATGGAGGGATTTTAATGAAACTTCATATAAATGTTCACCACTATGAGGAGCAGTGTCGCGCACATGAACCAGGTCTCTAGGTCAGAGGTCAAGGTCACACTTAGAGCTCATTGAAAAATGCTTGTCCGGAGCAAAACTTCCACATGTATAGAGGGATTTCAATATTACTTGGCACAAATGTTCACCATTGTGAGGCGGAGTGTTGCGTGCAAGATTCAGGTCCTTGCGGCCAAGGTCAAGGTCACACATAGAGGTCAAAGTTCAGATAAAAATATGAAGATGTGTATATGGACCATTTAGTCATCATTTATTGAGGGATTGTAACACAAATGGTCATTATCAAGACTATGGCTGTGATACATATAATTAAGGTCAATATATACAAGGTCAAGGTCACTAAAGATGATGAAATATCCAGATTTTGTAAATAGAATTTAATCAAAGGGCGACAACAAAGTTATTACTTTGTTCATAAATGACTTACACAATTACTCCCCTTGATCTACTTTCACTTTCAATTCTAAAAATAGAATTTAATCAAAGGGCATGAAATAATCCTCTTTCTTGGACTTGAGTATGTTCTAAAGAATGTAACATTTATTTACACATGTTTCATTCATTGGTCAAGATTCTTAACTGTGATAACTATGGTGTTCTGTAGACTTGGTATTTGTTCATAAAGATCATACAGTAATTACCTTATCAAATGTAAATACTTTCTCATAGAAATTTAATTATATTTTAATTTTCAAGTAAATATCAGTTCAGCTCATTCAAAGATTAAGAATTGTAATGAAATGTATTTCCCTAGAATAAAATCGTAAATCAGAATTTTTTAGTTATTAAATTACAATTACATGTACTTTTTATACGCCCGTTTAAAAAAAGATAAAAATATGAAGATGTGTATAGGGACGATTTAATCATCATTTATTGAGGGATTGTAACACAAATGGTCATTATAATGACTACGGCTGTGACACATGTACTTTAGGTCAATATATGCAAGGTCAAGGTCACTAAAGATGGTGAAATATCCAGATTTTGTCTGGAGCATATCTCCTACATGTATGGAAGAATTTTTATAATACTTTATGGAAATGTTCACCACCATGATATGTATTGCTCCATGCATGATCCAGGTCTCCAGGTCAAAGGTCAAGGATACACTTAGAGCTCATTGAAAAACGCTTGTCCGGAGCAAAACTTCTACATTCATAGGGGGTTTTCAATATAACTTGGCACAAATGTTCACCATTGTGAGGCTGAGTGTCGCATGCAAAATTCAGATCCCTGCGACCAAAGTCAAGGTTACACATAGAGGTCAAAGTTCAGATAAAAATTTGAAGATGGTTATAGGGACCATTTAGTCATCATTTATTGATGGATTGTAGCACAAATGGTAACTATCATGACTACAGGTGTTACACATTTAATTTAGGTTAATATTTGCAAGGTCAAGGTCACTGGAGATGATTAAATATCCAGATGTTGTCCGGAGCATATTTTCTACATGCATGGAGGAATTTTAATGTTACTTTTATAGAATTGTTCACCACCATGAGACGTAGTGCCCTGCACATAAACCAAGTCTCTAGGTCAAAGGTGAAGGTCACAGAGCTCATAGAAAAACACTTGTCTGGAGCAAAACTTCTACATGCATAGAGGGATTTCAATATAATTTGGCACAAATGTTCATCATTGTGAGGCTGAGTGCCGTGCATAAAATTCAGGTCCCTGCGACCAAGGTCAAGGTCACACATTCTGTGCATATCTTCCCTTCTGATTTGTTTTAAGGTTCATTTAACAACACAGTGCCAAGAATAAAAACTTGCTTGCTAGATAACACTTATCCATAATGCCCCCATCTCCATCTAAAGCTTTTTCGTAAACGGGCGTATTTTGTGACTATGGCACCCTTGTTATTTTTATAATTGCCATATTACTCTTTAAGCATGTAAGCATGAAAGCTGTCTGTAAGTTTGTCAAGTTTATTTCTTGAAAATAACAGATTTTTGTTGCTTAATGTATACAAATCACAAAACCTAACATAAGTAAATTTTACTACTAAAAGTTATGTTGCAACCCACTTATATAATTCCTTGATAACAGCTTAAGATATTTTTTCCCCAAATTACATAGATATTCAGAAAGGATTGTATCTTTATTTTCAGCAATTGTTCACAAGCTGGACCGGTTATTTGAGTTCCGGGAAATACATTTGTTTCGTCAGGAGATGCAGCTGTTTGTGAAAGTTATGCAAGAGTATATATCGCATCAGATAGTGGACGTCACATGGCAGGAATTCCAGACGGCGCTAGCCAAACATGTACACAATGTCGATGATCTTCACCAGGAACATAACAAATACCTCGATAATGCTCTCTTTAGGTAAAATATATCTCTTATTAACCCTTACCAATAACCATGATAAATACACGTATCATAAATGGACTTGTCCATCTTTCAATCTGGACAAAAAACATTCATCTTTTGTAGGGAAACTTTTCAAAATAAGTACTGACGGAATAACAAACTATGCAGGACATGATCTGTCTAGCACAGATGTTGCAGTATATCTTGGTTTGCACTGGTTGCATAGGTAGCTTCAGTTGCTGCCAGCAGGCTAAGAGTTTATAGGACTCGAGTCGTTAACTGTGTGGAATATCGCCATATGACCTATACTGTGTTGATGCAGCATAAAAACTGCTTTAAATTCTATCATTACATCATTTTACAGGTGTCTCCTGACAAAGAATGCTTCTTCATTGATGAAGATAATTCAAGATATATTCCGCCTGATTCTGAAGTTTCACAGACAGTTGTTGTTGGGAACATGGAACACAAACAAAGATGGTCACAAAACTCACAGTCAACAGTCACGAATGAAACATACATATAAAGTCTTCCATGAACATTCAACATTCCTGTTCAAAAGTTTGTATATATTGTCACTTTTAATCATGCCTATATATAGAATTTTAAATGCTATTATGGAAGGTAGGTTTGTAGCTGTGGCTACATCAATAAGTTACAAGGTTTAAAGGAGGTAAATTGATGGATTAACATTTTTAGAAAAATAGAATTCTGCAAAACTTTGTTTAGCGTGTTATAATATTTACAACATTAGTCATAGTTTTAAATGTGTTATGTATATATCACTGTATTTTTTTTGCCTTAATTAAGTAAAAAGAAAAAAAAATGTTATGATAAAATATATGTTTTTTTGTTATATTTACAGTTGTGAGTAAGCTTGCAGACCGAGGGTACGAGCCTCATCTTCATGACTTGCTGTTGAGGCTTAACTTCAACCATTACTATGACAAATAAAGTCTCAGAACCACCAATAATGATAATGATCATCCAGTACCAGGATTAGTTCATTCCAAGACACTTTAGATATGTCTGATCTGACAGTGTAGTGGTGAGATACTTCAGTGCCAATGATGTTGTGATAAACCTGTGATATTAGTGTCTATTATAATATATATGCATGTATATATATTTCCCTATACTTTCTGCCTGTATCACATACACAAATATGACTAGACAGAAAAATGTCCTTATAAAAATGTGATCTAGATTGACATTGCTGATGTTATATTTTGAATAGTTTAGATTCAAGTATACTTAAATATAATAAAAGTGTCATTGTAAAAGTATCTTGATCTGTTACTTTGTTTAGTTCTCAAGAATTTTACAAGAATGGATCACACTTACCACATCAGCTGAAGGGCCTCACTGGCTGAAAGACCTTGTCAGATCCTCGCTTTGTAAAATCTAATTGACTCAATTAAAAGCTCTGATCAAGGTTCTCTTATGAATCCCCATTACATTGATAGTAACTAGAAAAAAATCTTAAAAGTGAATGTGGTACTTAGTTTTAAGTTCATAAAATCAGTGATAGGTGAGCTCTGTATTATATATGGTGTTCTGTTAGGGTCATTGCTAATGAATAAAGTAATTTCACGAAAGTACAAATATGCAAAAGTATGAAGATGAAAATCAGAAAGTATGATGACTAATATGTGAAAACACAATGACGAAGACATTAAAGTATGAAATTTAATAATAGCATACTTTTATGTTTCCATCGTTTTCATTTCAAATTTTGTTCTTTCAAAAATCAATGGCTCTAACAGTACACCATAGCTCCTTAATTGTAAAGTGAAAGATTGAGTGATCATTGATAAACCAGGCTAACTGTTCTTAAATAATATTATTGTAGATTAGGTAAAATATGTAGCATGATGTTCCTGCCTTTAAAATATAGTAACTACTTAATTGATGACAACAGCAATGAAAAACCTTTGAATAGAATGAACAAAATAAAGGCTGACATCTTATCAAAATATATTTCTTGTAATATTGAATGAGTAAGTGTAACTTAATTAACACTTGCCCAACTAAATATATCAACTTGTCAATACAAAACTGTTCATCATTTTTAGGGACAATTTTTTAATTAAGAAGTAATTGAATAGAATACAGACCAGGATCAGTGGAAGATCAAAGACTGAGCCTGTCTTTGGGTAGAATCAGTTGCAGCCAGCAAGGCTAAAATTTAAAAGAGGCAAGTTATTAAAATACTTTGTCCGAGTTTAAAATTGCCATGACAATTACCATGACGCATACATAGTGCTAATTATGTGAAGGAAAATTTATAACCTATTACTACATTGTTTACTTGTTATTTAAAATATGTTCATAATGAATCTTGAGTTGCATTTTTCTGTATTTATATTTTTCTAGTATAGATCTGATGTTCTTATTTTGATACAGATTTGTAATGTTACAATAGAAATTTAATACATTTTTGAAAATAACATACTTTTGTTGTCTATTTTATCTTGTTTTTTTATTGAAATTAGTGGTACGTGTTGTGTGGGTGATAATGTTCTGTAAATGTAAAAAAAAAAGAACATTCCTTAGTATAAACATTTGCTATGATTTAAAATTTTGGTTCAATCAGAATTTGTTTAGTTCTTTTGTGTGGAAAACTACAAGAGTATATATAGAATCACTCTCGAATCCATTCCTGGAAGCCAACCAGTGCTAAGTAATAAGAGTGTTAAGTTTCTTGCTCAAGGAAACAAATGCTTGACCCTAACGTGGTTTTAACCCTCCTGGCTATAGTCTGATGTGTCATTCACTCGGCCACACAGTGGCAAAACTTTGTTAAACTGACTATCATCTATTTTCATGCCAATGTATAAATTAGTGATGTAATTTTATCCTTTGATGACAGTTTTTATCCGCCTTTTGTAGGAGGTAACTATAAATTGGGGTTTTGTTATTTTCATGATTTTATGCCAAGTTAAAAAGAGGGTTGGTCTATAAAGAGCTTATTTTCTGTATTCAATTAGTGATAAAACAATAGAAATGTATCAGTTTGATAATCTAATTTAATATTTCTGGAAAACAAAATGTTAAAATAGTTCTAAAGCGATTTTTATGAACATATATGATGAACAATTAATATATTTTTGTCTGGAACACTTTCTTATTTTGTATAAATTGATATCTCATATAGGACCAACAACAACTGTGGATTATTTCTTTCGTGGTTTGTTGTCACATATGATACTAAATACATGTACTATCAACATAATTATTTACAGATTTTCAATTACATAGACCAATTTACTTTAACATATATTTGGTCATATTTCGGCGATCCGTCCTATTAACTGGGATTTCTGGATAACAAACTAAATATCCGCAAATGACCGACTACTAACATGATTTTTTATTATCGATGTGAAGACTCAAAATAGAGATATTTCGCCTCGCCCTAGAATCGAAGAAGCAACCCTTCAATTACTAATCCGGTGCTCTCCCTATTGAGCTTCGCGGGGTTATTTAATACAGACCATATAAAACCATGAAAAACCATTTGACGATCGATACAAGAGCCACGTGTTAGGATAGACTTAAAATTACAATTTGCCATTAACAGCATTGTCGGATACCCACGGTGAAATGTTAACGGTTCGGCCGTAATGCATATACTGATAACGACGGGAAATGTAAACGTATATTGGAATGAAATTTGATAACATTTTAAACGCGTATATCTAACTTAAATGTTTATGTGCGTATATTTTGTATTTATATTTCAACTGCAGACGAGAATTTTGATTTATATAAGTTTAAAGGATAAGAAAAATATGTGAAATATGGAAAAAAAGATCTGGAAAGAGGGAGATCCGTTGGACGCTATGAAAGACTTATGAAAGATTTTATACCTTGTAGGTTGAAGATTAACCTCTAAACACCCAGGTAGGTCACATTATAAAATTGTTGAACAATTGAAATACAACATATTTATTCATTGATATTTTGCTATATTCATTAATTATCTGAATATTTATATGTTACTATTTGCAGACGATATGGTGGTATTTACTACAAATGCACAAAGTCTCCAAGCGCAGCTAGATAGTTTATACGTATATTCTGTTAAATGGAGTCTGAAAATAAATGTTAAGAAAACAGATATTTGTGTATTTAGAAAAAGAAAAACAAAAATTGATAATAATTGGTTTATTAATGGTGAGAAAATAGAAGTTGTAGAAACATTTTGTTACCTTGGAGTTAACTTTAAGTATAATGGGTCTATGAATGATGCAATGAAATCTTTATCAGAGCACGCATTAAAAGCTGTGAACAGCCTGTATTCAATCTTCTCAAGAATAAAGTTTGATGTTAAGACTAAACTGTTGCTCTTTGACAGGATGGTAGAACCAATACTACTATATTGTGCTGAAGTCTTTGGTATTTACAATACAGATGTTCTAGATAGAATTCAAATGAAGTTCTGTAAAAAGATTCTAGGTGTTAAAATGTCTACACCAAATATGGCTGTACTTGGAGAATTGGGAAGATATCCGATATCTATCTTATGTAAAGAGAGAGTTTTGAACTATTGGGTGAAATTAAACAGAAATAAAAGTTCGCTTATTTATAACATTTTTCAAACTGCAATATCAAGAAACATACAATCAAAATTGCATATTTATGGGCAAAACATGTTAAATCTCTTCTAGATTCTCTCGGGTACGGCTATATTTGGTACAATTTCAACGACGATATTTCTATGAGTATCTTAAAATGCAGATTAAGAGATCAGTTTTAAACAAGAATGGAGTGGTTCTATTCGTAGTATGTCCAAACTTGATTATTATGTAAAATTTAAGAAAGAATTTGGTTATGAAAAATATCTTGATTTTATTGAAAAATGACTATTTGAGAAAACTATTTACATGTTTCAGATTATCAGCGCACTCGCTAGCTATCGAAACTGGGAGATATATAGGAACTGATAGAATAAATAGAATTTGTAGATATTGCAATTGTAATGTCATTGAGTCAGAGTACCACTTCCTTATGACCTGTCAAAAATATTCAAATATTCGTACCAAATACATGCCACATATTTCGTGGCCAAATCTTAATTTGTTCAACCGTATGATGGGTTCAAATAAAAAGAAAACTGTATTGAATATGTGTAAATATCTTAAAGAAGCATATACTGTTAGAAACGATGTCTTATAAATGTACACTTTTTCTGATCACTATGAATATATATGTATATGTGTTGATAAATATTGTTTCATATAAAATTGCTTTATATGTTTGTATATATGATCAATATTTGAAGTATTTTTTCTGTTCATTAGCCAAAGGCAAGTTTTTGTCGATATTTGCTAATAAAAGTTGTTGTTGTTGTTGTTATTCAATAAGTACCTGAGAGTCGCATATATTGATCTACTATATGACATTGCCTATTAGACAATCAATACAACCAGTGTATGTATTTTGCAAGATATAATATTATACATTCTACCAGTGAAACTAATAGGATCCCCAAAGAAAGAGTATATAAGATATATTAAATCAATTTGTGGCCAAAATTAATAAGAAAAGAAGAAAATAACAAAGCTGTATTACTAGAATTTCACATGACACCTTTTTAATGAAAGAACAATTGCAAAAGAAAAGAAAACAAGAAACAAATTTAAGGCATTGAGAAAATAGGAACTAGTGACATTTATTAGAAACTTAAAGCATAACCAGGCTGTCAAGCAGACCCTACTTTTCTCTACTGTTTGAATTTTGCCATAATTTATCAAAAGCAGCCCTATAATCCATTATTTTTAGAATGCCATGTCATCAAATATAAAGAAATTAACATTATTTTGTAGAACAATTTTGTAGCTTCTAATAAGACCCTTATTTTCTATAATTGGAATTTAAAATTCAAATCATGTAGAGTTTCCCCTGAACCCCTATTTATGGTTGCTTGTTATCTTATACTACTTCTATTTTTAGCTCACCTAAGCTAGCTCAGGGTGAGTTTTTAGGATCGTTGAATGTCCGTCGTCCGTCGTATGTGGTCCGTGGTCCATCCACATTTGTTCGGTGACACTCTAGCGGTCACATTTTTGCCTCAATCATCATCAAACTTTGTCAGGATGCTTTTCTAGGTAATGGCTTAAATGAGTTTGAACATTCGTCATTTCGGAAGAAAAACTAGGTCACAGGTGCTAAAAATAGAAAAATCTTGTTTTCACTCTAGTGCCTCTTGTTTTGATCCAACTATCCTGGAAATTGGTCTGAAAGTTTGTTTTGATGATTTAGAGGTCAAGTGCAAATATGGATCACCTGGGATCAACTAGGTCACACTGTTCACATATGGAAAACCCTTGTTAATACTCTAGTGGTTACAATTTTGACTCAATTGTCATGAAACATGGTCAGGATGCTTGTCTAGTTAATTGCTCGGATGAGTTCGAACATGGGTAATCTCTAATAAAAAACTAGGTCACAGGAGCTAAAAATAGAAAAATATCTTGTTAACTCTCTAGTGGCTATTGTTGTTATCCAAATATCCTGGAAATTGGTTTAAAAATTTGTTTTGACGATTTCTAGGTTAAGTTGAAATATGCGTCACCTGGGATCAAAAACCTGCCCAAATATGGAAAAACTTTGTTAAAAACTTTAGTGGTCACATTGTTGACTCAATTGTCATCAAATTTTGTCAGGATGCTTGTCTAAGAAATTTCTCGGATGAGTTCGATTGGTCAGGTGAGCGATCTACGGCCATCTTGGTCTTCTTGTTGTAGTTGTTTTAAACATTGTTGACTTTGTACATTATATTTGAGGTAGTCGATTATAAAGGTCATATACGTTTTACGTTTTATTTTGTTTTTAACATTGCCGATTTGAAATAAAACTTATCCCAATTTAAAGCCGATACACACAAATTTCATTTTTTTCTGCTGCATTTCGCTGAACTACAAAATTCATGAAGAATTGTTGCCGAATACATTATTTTCATTTTTTTATTTCAGAATGTATAACGTTGCCAACTATTACGACAGTGTGTCGTTGAAGTTGTCGGATGTACTTGGGGACATAGGGCTCAATGAGAGATTGGTCCTTAAAAGACGGAAAGAAATGCTTCTGGCGGAAACAATTCGGACAGTTCCGGAAAGCGTTTTTTCTGATCATACATTGTATATGTTTGGAAGTCTCTCCGAGGGTACAACTACCTTGGGACTTCTTTCTGATACAGATATCTTACTGTGTAATCATATGATCAATTTGATGCAAGAATATTCCGAATGGAAACAAGGTTATTTAAACTTACTAATGATTAAAGATGTTAATTCATCACCTGGCTACTGTCTTCTTCAAGTGATAAGACCAGATCAACCTCTTCCTTCAAAAGATGTTACAACTAAAAATTATGTTAAAGTCGACAAAGAAATAGTGTTGTTTAAGAATTTACTTGGAACAGATGGTATAGATGGCAGAGTAATGCATGGTCCAGCATGGACAACACAGAGACCTGGCTTAAGGGATTATGACACTGTTATGTCCTTTAAATGCAATTCATGGCCAAAAGAAGCTAGGCAGTGGTTGCAGGAAGATGATAACATGCACTGGCCCTCACGAGAAATTAAGAAATTTGCACAGAATAGTGGATGTTTTGTTGTATCTACTGCGAGTAGAATCAGTCAATATAAAGACCTTGAATGGAGAATTTCAACATCTCTAGCAGAAAGATCTCTAATGTTTAGTTTAAATATTACTCAAATAAGATGTTATGTCTTGGTGAAAATGGTTTTAAAAACATACTTGAACACTCAAGGTGAAAGTAATCTATCAAGCTTCATGTGTAAAGCAGTTCTCATGAATTGTGTTAAGAAAACACATCCAGGCTTTTGGGTTGAATCCAACATTTTAACATGTTTCACGTACTACTTACAAAGAATTTTGTTTAGTATACTTCATGACCATTGTCCTCATTTTATCATACCAGAAAACAATCTGATGGCCGGACAATTTCCAGCTCAAATTAAACATATCTTGCTAAAAAAAATTGAGATTCATATTGCAAGATATTAGACAGGCATTGTTTGGGATCGAACTTGATGACCTTGGTAAAAGACTGCAGGTAAAGTTGAACATGACACCACAAAATGTGTACACTATTAAATCAGCTAGTGTTATCTCTTGTACTATTTCTGCGGGAACAATAGACACTGTAACTAATGTTTTACATACTTGTTTTGAGCAATTCGCAGAGATGCTTCCAGATATTGCACCAGAAGCAGTACAGCTCGAAATTGTTCGATTTCTACAAATTTACAGACGTTTGTACAGGAATGGTGGAATGTTTGAACAAACAGCTATCAGTCTGTTAGCACCATTTATGTGCTCTGCACTTGGTTCAGTTATAGCGGCTTCATGTATTCAGAAAAGCAACTGTTTATCGCGCGAAGCAACAGACTGGTTAAATTTAGGATTGAACTCAGATGTGTCGTCTGGAAGACTGAAATTAGCATCAGTGTTGTATTGTATAGGAGATACAGTCAGGGCAGAACATCTTCTGAAAGAGATGGAACGGTATCAATGGGAAGCTATTGAGCCAATATGCAGTTGTTATGTTTATAAAAAAAAAGGTTTTGGAGAAAAATGTACTTCGAAGCTTGCGACTGTAAAGAGATCTCGCAAGCTATTAGACAGAACACATCATTTTGTGTAAGATTTATGCGTTCTGAAATGAACAGCATTCCTCATGAATTACAGTACGAAATGTTTCGTTCAACTGTTGAGGACTTATTGTACCGCAACCAATCGATGGATGTGTGGATGGACTGGGCAGTAGTTGATTCCCTCCCGTACCTGTACTTTCTTCAATATAAAGTATATGATAGACTTCACATTTGTAACGACAAAGTCAGAGCGCTCCGGAAACTTGTTACTACGATTAAAACGCCAATGAAAAACCTTTGCCTTTGCCACAGGGAAACTGCCCTTAATCTGTTAGGACAATGTATGGAAAAGGAAAATGCTTTGGCATATGCTCTGTTTTGTTACAAATGTTCCCTTAAGTTGAGAAGAAGAAATAATGTAGCTAAGATACATATTTGTAGGTTGCTATCGAACCTTGTGAATCAACATGGTATATAAAACCATTCAGGCCCCTAGGTCAGCTCGGCGCATGTGGCGATATTTATCAAGATGGTTATGATAATATTGTCTCCTTATACCAGATTTTTCTCTGTTTACATAAATGTTAACACGAACGTGACCCCTAGGGTTATTTGTTCTTGGAAAATCATTTGAACAGAAATGAGGGGCGAATCATTGATGATTTATGATAGCAAAATCTGACTAAAATTATTAATATAAACAAGACAATGTCAATGATTTCTCTATAATATACGTATACATATAGGAAAGTAACTGAGCATAAGTTTTAGTAATCAAAATTATTTGAACAATCTTGGTATATGTATATGGTAAAAAAAAATCTATGAAAAAAATCGAAAACTTTCAAAGTCTCCTTATGTGCATATAGGGTTTTGACCCTTGCAGCAATGTTTTGTTTTATATCAAAATGATATGAAGAATCTTGGTGTGAAATGATTTCTGAATTAAAGTTTTCGAGACAAACAGGAATCAGCATGCAGAGGATCCTAGAGGAGAATTTATATGAAATTTTGATGTTGGACCAGGAATCTGGGAGAATTGAAGTTAAGTGTTGGCGGACAAACATACAAAAAAAATTGACCTAGAGCATATTGTTCGCTGGTGAGCTATAAACGACATATACCACTTTTTTCCTATTGTTTTCTTTTTTGTTTTGTTTTCATTTTAGCTACAATATATATATATATATAATATATATATATATATATATATATATATATATATATATATATATATATATATATATATATTATATATATATATATATATATATATATATATATATATATATATATATATATATAAACATTGACAAAATCGTAAAATGTACTTTGAGTATATTCCAGCGTTCTGCCAAGGCAAATAGTATACAGGTAAGACGATTCTGTAACAAATCTTTCAAGTCTTTAAATTAATCAATCAACTGGATTTACACGACATAAGTTTATTTTACAATGGTTTTGAAATCGATCCAGGAAAAACAGAATTGTTGACCAAACATGTCCATCAATGCTAGATAATTGGACTTATGGATTAAAGAAATAGCGAACATACACATTTAACCGATTTAACAATAATCAGTTAAATGAAACAACAGACAGATTATATTAAATCATACAAGTATTTAACCCTTTACCTCATGAGCATATTGTGAAAAATGGCCGTTTTCATTGAAAGCCTCCTGTTACAAGTTCAAACTGCTATGAAATTATGTAAAATGCTGCAATACTAATCAAACTTGGCACAAATGTTGACTGGACCATTGCCTTTATAACGACATGCTCAATCTTAAATTTCCTGTTACCATCGCAACGAGGAGACATCTCAAAATTGCCAAAAATCACTATTTTGCCATGATTTTTTCCATCAAAATTTATTTCAAAGTGCTGCAACTTCTCAAGGGATTGAGTCAAAGGCTTTTCAGCGCTGGTTACACGTTACTGCATGATCGACCTGGGGTCATTTTTAGCCTCTCACAAGTCCAAAATTTTCTAGGCGATGAGGGGGGCTGCCGCCCCCTTCAAACCCCGCAAAGAGAAGGGGGCACATCTCCCCTCTGGCAACCCCCTGATGTATCTTTTGGATGGGGCGGCGCCGAAAAAGTGCTCACATTTTTTGCAACATTTTCTCAAACGAAAACATGTGTTTGGGGCCCAAATAGGACATTTTTTCACTATTTGAGGCCTAAAAGAGGGGGTGGGCTCGAAAGTGCGTTGTTTCGGTAAAGGGTTTATAAAAGCAGAAAAGCTGAGAGATGGATAGACATTTAAACAAGAACTGTCCGAGGACAGCAAGGTCCATTTTTTTCTAACTGCTTAATAGTATGATAAAAACAAAGAAAAAAAGGGGACAAAATTCTGCATAAATGCTTGGTAGAACTATCTGCCCTTCATAGTAAACAAGCATTTCAAGATTGAGGCGAACGTGTGTGATGCTTTTGAGGAAACTAAGAAAATAACAAAATACACGAATAAACAAACAAAAATGATTTTCAGCATTATCTGTCCTTCAGAAATGCCCCCAAGTTTGGTAATGAACATGTTAAGTATTTCAAGTTTAAGGTGAATGTCTGATAGTTTTTGAGAAATGAACCAGAACAAAAAGATTAACAGGGCAACAAAATTTCAAAATAATTTTAGGATTATCTGCCCTTGTAATATGACATTTAATTTTTTAATGAACAAATGTACTTATTATTAAGTGAACAACCGATAGTTTCTTAGAAAATGGTATATCCTATTACTTTCTAAACTGAAAATGGGTGTAACAGGTGCATCCACATATTAAATTTCATTGTTATAGCATTGCTAGTCAAGTATTAAACTTAATGACCATAAATGAAAACTTAATTTAAGTCAAAAAGGTTAATAACCAATGCCCAACGCCAAGTAAGTTATGACAATTGTTCCAAATTTTCTTCAAAAAGCTAAGGGAGGTCACAATATGTGTTTGCTGGTTTCTATTGAACAACAATGTCTATGTTTATATAAATAACTACTTAATGATGAGCATCCATTTAAGCCGTCTACTTATCTCAATAGGTAGAGCGTTGGACTGTGAATCGGGCGACTTTGGTTCAATTCCAGGATGGCGCAGGTCACTTTCGTTGTGATTGATCAAGAAATCCTTTCTACAGTCATTCACACTGTTTCACTGCTCTGGCATGTTCAAAAGTAATCAGTAACTTGCAAAAAGGATGGCAACTAGTACTGGTAAACTGCTTGACAGCCTGATGCATGGCTGAACTGTGCTCTTTGGCTTACTGTCATGATCTGGAGTGAAAACTACCAACACCACCACTCAGCATCCATTTAAAAATACAATACCCTCAACCTTAATGAAAGTTTTAAGTTCAAAATAATACAAATATTTGAGGAACTAGGCCATAATATAAGACATATGTCATAAAATAAAGAATAAAACAAAAATTGTCTTGAAGAACGATTTATTGGTTAATAAATAATAACTGATGATACTTTTTTGTTATCTAATGACAATTTTATAATAAATTAGCATCGTAATACATATCAAAGTAATCAACACCTTAACAAAAAACCTTGCATCAATAATTTCCTTATACCACAGAATCTTTGTGCTAAGCAATTTTTAACATAGTAAGTAGAACAGCATGAAATATTGACAACAGAAGAAAGTTTGCAGAGTGATGGTCCATATAAGCACTGTAGTACTTATTTTTTGCAGTAAAGGCCTTTCTTTCATTTATTCTACTGGTATTATCAGTTAAAGCGGCCTTCAGCTATTCTAATATGTCATCTTTAGATAAATCAACAGATTAATTTTCAAATAAAAAGAATTAAGGTGGAAAATGAAATTTGCCGAAGATAAAACAAATAAACAATAAGGGAACCCCTCAATACCTCTTATCTACTAGTCCCCTCTGTGTATTGGATTTAGTAAAGCCGAAAATTTGTTTCCCAACATTCTTTTTTTAGAAACAGATGATAAATAACTCACAGGACACTGATGTAAAGAAAGCTCAACAGCAATATGATGCACTTTTCAAAGATAAAACTTCTGAAATATTTAGTTCAAAACAACACAGAATTGTTTTTCCAACAGAAAATAAAAGCTGAAGGCCTCTTCAAAGGACCATTGCCATCAAAGTTGAATTCATATTTTCTAGCATTATCTAGGTCAATCTGCCATATTTATAGGGTGGTGCTATGTATGCAAATAAGCATATGTCCACATTACAACAGTATCAACGATGACTTGATTCCAGCACAAACAACAAAGTTACAATACTTTCTTTATAAATGGAAACAAAATATGTGAAAGCAAACTCTTGTATCAATGAGACAAAATAAAGACAAGGTTTCTTCCCTTGTTTCAGATATTTCTTTCTTTGCATTTCAAGATAAAATTTATTTTCTTTGAATTTCAAGTAAAAAATTCATTTTCTTTGAAAGATGGATGTATTTTAATGTTTCCTTAAAATATCGACATTTTCTACATCTGGAATGTAACATCAACAATCAATCAACAATCAATCAAGGTTTTACTTTTGAAAGTAATATTCTTAGATTTTCTTTCCTAAAATAATGTTTTACCTTTTTTCTATCAGATAACTATTATTTTATCTCATTTTACATTGAAACATTAACACCTGCATGTTCCCACATGTTAAAAGAAAACAATTACAGCAATTGTGGCATTCCATGATTTTACCAATCCATGCATTACAAACAGACTTTCTTCTACAAAAAGCTAGGTAGATGATTATCAAATGTTTTAACATTATTATTTTGTGTTGGTTTGTAAGTCACACCAAAACGATTACGGTCATATGGCAACTTTCCAGCTATATTGTAATCAAACCTCCTGTGCCCCTCCATGCATTATTTTAGACCCTTATGGGCACCTGTGGTCTTACCATCAAACATTTATGAAGAAATGGAATTAAACAACAGCCTGGTCCACACTCCTTAATAATGTTGATTTCTGTCAATAATTTCTACCTTATTCTTTGGAAATAACTTTTAGTTTTAACAAGAGCTGTCGGTAGGACAGCAACGCTCGACTATTCTTAGTGCTTGATAGTAAAAAAAATGCTTGATACAGTTACCTCCTCCTGTTTACAGGTTGGGGTCATGATGGTGAACAAGTGTGCAAAGTTTCAAAGCCATATGTCAATGGACTTTGAAAATATTTGAACTATTACAAAAACTTTAACGTAAATTCTAAGTCGAAAAAGGGGCATAATTCTGTCAAAATGCTTTATAGAGTTACCACCTCCTGTCTACAGGTTGGGGTCATGATGATGAACAAGTGTGCAAAGTTTCAAAGCCATATGTCAATGGACTTTGAAAATATTTGAACTATTACAAAAACTTTAACGTAAATTCTAAGTCGAAAAAGGGGCATAATTCTGTCAAAATGCTTGATAGAGTTACCTCCTCCTGTTTACAGGTTGGGGTCATGATGTTGAACAAGTGTGCAAAGTTTCAAAGCCATATGTCAATGGACTTTGAAAATATTTGAACTATTACAAAAACTTTAACGTAAATTCTAAGTCGAAAAAGGGGCATAATTCTGTCAAAATGCTTGATAGAGTTACCTCCTCCTGTTTACAGGTTGGGGTCATGATGTTGAACAAGTGTGCAAAGTTTCAAAGCCATATGTCAATGGACTTTGAAAATATTTGAACTATTACAAAAACTTTAACGTAAATTCTAAGTCGAAAAAGGGGCATAATTCTGTCAAAATGCTTGATAGAGTTACCTCCTCCTGTTTACAGGTTGGGGTCATGATGGTGAACAAGTGTGCAAAGTTTCAAAGCCATATGTCAATGGACTTTGAAAATATTTGAACTATTACAAAAACTTTAACATAAGTGGTTACGCAGACGCCGACGCTCGGGTGACTGCAATAGCTCTACTTATTCTTATCGAATAGTCGAGCTAAAAATAAAGTAATTTATAAGAAATCAAATAATTTCAGTTTAGAAAATATCACATATACATAAAACAAAAATTAAAATTTAATTCTGAAAGCCAAAAAATCAGTAATCAGTTAAGAATCTGGTTACAAAAATGAAAACTGTCCATAATTAAGACCACACTCTTGATAATTAGGGAATTAATGTCACCAACAAAAAGATAATCAAAATTTCCTTTTTAATAAAAAGTAAACAGAAAATGAATTCAGTATCGTATTACAGTTCATCATTTACACCTTAGACCTAGAGGAAAGACAATATTATTTACATAAAAGAGTTTGTAAAATTGGTTTCTAAAATAAATAAAATGATTACTGATTATCTTAGCATGTACTTCATTGATACCAAGATATTTATATTTTCCTGCAAATTGACATGAAATATTAACCTTTATTATTTTACTTCATAATGATTAAGTGTTGCATTTTGCCTTTTAAAGTACAGAGTTATTAAAGTTCAAGTCATTTGCTTAAAGACAGTAACCTCTAACTTTCTAAGTCAATCTGACATGTATGTAGGTGGGCTTATGAATGTAAATCAACACTGTATCATCACTCACCTGGAACCAGAGTACAGGAATATATTAAAATTTTAAAGAATTTATTCTTAATTTGAAATTCAGCTTGCCCTGTTTCACATTCTTACAACAGGTGCCAGAATCATGTGCCAGCATTATCATAGAATGCATTTTGCATTATCATAGAATGAAAATCTGATACTAAAATTATTCTTATTTACACTTATTAGTAGAGTCAAATCTAAGTCTCTTACATTTCTTAAATGATCTCAAAAACAAAAAAGTTTAAACAATCAAAACAAAAAGTCAAGAACCTTTCCGTAACTTTCTAAGAAAGTCTGTTTAAATTGCAACACGGCAAACTGCAAAAACTTCAAAAACTGCTGTGTAATATTGATATACTTCATAGTTCCACTATATCTCTTCACAAACATTAAAAGTCTGTCATCACACTGTAAAGGTTGTGATATAAAATCATTAAATGATTGGTCATGGTTTTAATTGTCACCTATTGCCATCTTGTCCATTTTCTCAGCTACGTCCTTCGGTTTGTCTTTCTTCCCGCTTTTCTTTTGTTTTTTAACTTCCTGCTCGTCAATGGGAGCCGCTTTTACAAATGGAATCTTTTCCTTGTATTCTAAAAGTACACCAAGAATATGGTGTTTAATATATGTATATATACATGTGTACTTGTTTGCATGCTGTATTCTATAATAAATGTTGCTTTAATTAAGAAGCACTTCTCTAGATTCTGGCAAATGTTCATTAAACTTTTTGGACTGTTTTAATAAAGAAAACTTTTTACCCATTAGAAGATGTTTCATGCTAAACATCTAAGGTCTAGCTTGTTGGGTTTTTTAAAAAAAGATTTTTTAAGTTTTTTCTTTACACATATACTAGTATTTAAAAACAATGACACTCCTGGGGAAGGGCCAGTTTTGACCCCAGGGCTTTTATTTGAACAATCTTTGTAGACACTTACTAGAAGATGTTTCATGCTTAATATCTAAACTCTAGCTATTTGGGTTATTTCCAAGAAGATTTTTAAGTTTTGCTATACACATATAAGGAAAATCAATGTCCCCCAGAGCCGGGCCAATTTTGACCCCAGGGCTTTTAGTTGAACAAACTTGGTAGACATCCATTAGAACATGTTTCATGCTAAATATCTTAGCTCTAACTCTTTGGGTTCTTTAAAAGAAGATTTTTAAGTTTTTACTATATTCATATAGGGAAAATCAATGACCCCCTGGGGCGGGTCCAATTTTGACCCAAGGGCTTTTATTTGAACAAACTTGGTAGACACCCATTAGAAGATGTTTCATGCTAAATATCTTAGCTCTAGCTCTTCGGGTTCTTTAAAAGAAGATTTTTAAAGTTTTTACTATATACATATAGGGAAAATCAATGACCCCCTGGGGCGGGGCCAATTTTGACCCCAGGGCTTTTATTTGAACAAACTTTGTAGACATTGACTAGAAGATGTTTCATGCCTAATATCTAAGCTCTAGCTCTTTTGGTTTTCTAGAAGATGATATTTTAAGTTTTTTCTTTTGGTTGCCATGGCAACCAGAGTTCTGCATGGAATTAAATTCTTTGAACAATTTTCAAAGGTGACCACCAAAGGAACATTCCTGTGAAGTTTGGATGAAATTGGCTCAGTGGTTTATGAGGAGATGTCATTAAAAGTAAAAGTGTACGGACGCCCGACGGACTACGGACGGACGCATGTAATTTAATTGTCAACATACGTGATGGCATAAGGTCACGTAGAACTTCCGGCACTATCACGCCATCTTCAACTTGGTAGTTCTCCAGGATTGCACATATGGCCCTAGTTGTGGCACACATTGTGGCATTTAACATGTGTACATACTCTACCTGTTCACAAAATAAAAAAAAGTTTTAACAATGATTTGCAACAACATCTCTCAAAATAAAGCCTACATAAATAAAAATGCTTCAACAAACCAAACCATGTGACAGACTAACAGTTTCCATATTTCAATAGCTACCAATAACTTAAATTATGACAACCAAGAACTTGTCACAGACAATGCAACAGTCCCCTACCATTAAAATATTGTTGATTTTCTACCTCAACCAATATCAACATTTTACATAAAGAATTTGTCTAAGAAGGCCTTTTGAAGGCCAGCACATAACAAGGAAGTAATAATGAACAAGGAAGTAATAATACAAGTGCATTTTTTAAGAACATTAACATAATTCTTAGATATAGGTGAATAAATGTTAACTTTTTTCCTTCTCATAGGATTTGAGATGTATGTCAAATCTCATTGTTCTTGCTATATCCATAACTATAGCAATATAAAATCATTTCCCATAGCAAGTATCATCAACCTACCTTTTTTTACTTTTTAAGTTATGGCAAGATCCAGATTTTTTTACACGACAGAATGACCATGGTTTGGATTACAACTGGTTAACTGGTAGGGGACTAACAATACCTTCAACCAAAATTGATTAATACACTAAAACAATTTCTGCTTGAATACTAAAATCTTACAGAAAAAAAATCAAATATTTAAAAGTAAGAATATACCTCCTGATTCATCTTTTTGGTTTGGCCATATCTGACCTTTAACCTTCTTGCCTGGTAGTCGAGACAATTTGAGCAGGAAACCAACTCTCTGAATGCCCCTGATCCAGGGAACCAGGCCTCAAGATCCAGTTTCTTAGCAGCAGCATTGTTCAGAGCGCCTAAAAATAGATTTTTAAGAGGAAAAATTATAACTGAAGACAGTATACACTACCTTAATTGCTACCATAACCATTTTATTAATTATTTTTTAAGGGGCCTCCGTGGCTGAATGGTTAAGGTCGCTGACTTGAGATCACAGGTCCCTCACCGCTGTAGGTTCGATCCTCACGCGGGTCGAAATCTTTCATGTGAGGAAGCCATCTAGCTGGCTTACGGAAGGTCGGTGGTTCTACCCAGGTACCCGCGCATGCCTGAAATAATGCCCGGAGGGGCACCTGGGGTCTTCCTCCACCAATAAAAGCTGGAAAAAAATCGATGAAAAAATCTCAGCGGGATGCTCTAGGATGGCCCGACTTGAGTGTACGGTCGCCAATATAGGCTGTCCGGCGGCGACCTTAAATAAACGCACTAAAAAAAAAAAATATTGCTTACTAGATTGGATGCTTACCTGCACAACTGACTGTACAATATATACCCCAACAAGACTGATTGGTATATCACATTTATTTGATTTACTGATTATTTTGTAGTTTACTTAACTTCATTTAATGTCTCTATAACAAAATATGTTATGTATTTTATATACATCCACAAGATCAATAACTTCCCAAATGGTTTAGTAAATCCCAATATTAATATAGAAAAGCCCCAGGCAAATTCACAATAATTAAACAATTGCAGTTTTGGCAGGTAACAGGTTAATGAAACTTATTAGAATTCAAAATAATACTGTGAGTTACTTAAAAGTAAATGTGGTTAGTTTAAACATATTTTATTGTATATATATATACATACATACATACATACATAAATTTTCACAATTATACATAAATACATTAATGTAAATATACAAAAGGGTTGGGCCAAAAGTTATAACAACATTATCGGGGGCCCTCCCCTGAAATACTGACTGCAATGTTATTTAAAAATAGATGTGAAAAAGACATATGTAAAGTATGATTAATTAAGTTGAAATCTAAGAAAAAAATAATTAGAAAAAAAAAATTGTAAATAAATATATTTTCTGATATGTGAAAAAAAAAAACACGTCGCCTACTCCCTACAACAGTTTTACTATGAATTTTTTTACAGTTGACAATAGTCTAACAATTTGTATAGAACCATAAAAACAAAGTATAAAAGAAAATCAAATGTTGTTAAACTATATAAACCTTTTCGTTTCTTTAATAAACCGATGAACATGATGAAATAAAATGTGGTTCTGGATATGATATACCACCCAACTGTGGAAACTGTATAGGATTTACTGGAAACTTGCCAATCAAGCTTTTGAAACTGGGCAGAACTTTTTTTTAATTTCTTTCTTTTGAAATCCTGAATAAACTCAAAATTAAAATTCAAATAGGCTATTACAGGTATTAATTTGCACAAAAAATCTAATTTGTATGATCCTCAATTGCAAAATACTGAAATTTGAGAATACTATAATGATCTCTGAACCAAAATATGAAAAATATAACATGTTTCAAGGTCAGTTCTGGCACAACTTTACAAAACTATACTCTTATATTTAACTAACAGTGCAATGTCACAAATATTCCAAGGGCATTTTACATAAAGCTAGTAAACAACTTATTGTATTTGCGACTATATTATCATACACTTTAAACAATACACCTTGCAATATGATATGACAGTGCATGTAAAAATCAATATTTAGCTTAAATCTTAAAAACGTTAAATGCGTTAGCCTTGAAATATAGAACTTTGGACTTTTTAGTATGTGCAAACCAGCAGGTTGAAATATTGTTTATTTATGTACTTGTTCAGTCTACTTTGTATACCAGGGAAAATCAATTTCAGCATAAGAATGGAAAAACCTGTGTCATTATTGCAAAGTATTATACTTTACCAATCCCCGTTCTTAAACAATAAACAAAACAACCTGTTAACATTATTATCCTTGATTTATGATACCAGATTATTCTGTAATCCAGCGGAACATTTTCCTCAAATGCAGAGCAAAACAGTCCTTTTTTTCTAAATATAAACCAGTGATCCTCTTAGCACCACACAAGGAGACAAACTTATGCATATTTTTTTTAGCTAATAAATATAATATATACAAATAATAAGTGATAACTGTCATTTTGCAATGAAAGGAATGCACTTTTCAGTCCCTATGTAACATGTTTTCTTGTTTCTATCGTGACTTTCTATTCCTAGAACATAAACATAGCTTCAGACTAGTCTATATCCTGCTTAAACTATATTATTAATTGTTATTGACATTACAAGGATTTTACATCCAGTGTCACTTTGACCTTGACCTAATAACCTCAATATATTCAATAGGGGTCATCTACTTGCCACTGGGAATGTCCATAATAAGCTAAAAAGTTAATTAGTGTAACAAACTCAAATAACTGTTAAAAATCTGGAAACAATGTGATCCCTCGGAAGCATTAATCACAACAAAATAACATAAGAATTGCAGACTCGGTTTGATTGAGTCTGTACATGAGGGATGATGAATACGTGCAACATCCCTCACGCCCCCAAGCACCGTCTTGAGAGGTACTCAATTCTCAACACTTAATAGTGCTGGCATCAGTGATCCCGAAAGACCAGAAAAATATAACAACACTGAAGTGAAGTACGTGGATTTTACAAGTGTCATTAAGACTTTGACCTTATGACCCCTAAATCAATAAGTTATCTACTAGCCATGGGTTATTAAACTTAGGCGTTTTCCTCCTCAAGTTATTAATTGGACATGGATTTTACAAAAAAATGTCAATGTGACCTTAACCTTTGACCTAATGACCTCAAAACTATTACAGGTCATCCTCTAGCCATGGCAATGTCCCCTTTAAGTTAAATAAACTTAAGCATAATACTTCTTAAGTCATTGATTGGACAAGCATTTTACAGAGTCACTGTGACCTTGAACTTTGACCAAATTACCTCAATACAGGTTATCTACTGGCAATGTTCCTACCAAGTTACATAAACCAGGGTTTATACCTTTTCAAGACACCGATCAAGCAAAACTAACATGACATCCCACCCTTTCACAGTATGCTCTCCCTCCACTTTTTAATTGGGACCTTTAAAAATTGGTGCACAAAGAGTTGAATCATCTTTCATCTACCAAAAAGACCCAAGAAATGAGTTTACCCGAAACTATGTTGACTATTCTATAAGGTATTCCAAGCTGCTTGTTGAATTCCTCAGCATTTGTGATCATTTCTGTCATCATTTCCCATGATTTGTTGTCATGAGGGGAGGTCAGTACAAACTGTTCAACCTGCAAGGGGAATTAACTCTTCATTAAATATAAACTTCTTCTATTACTATCCTTGAAAAAATGTTAAGAACTGCAACCTATTCATAACATCATTCTGTAAGTGAGTGAACAATAAAGCACCCACAGAAAGTCAAAGTAATAAACTAAAACATAAAGGCATGATAACAATCTTTACAAAAATAATTTTTGTTATTTTCACAGTAGTTTTTCTCTCTTAGTTGGGAAGAGGCCTTAGCCTCTTGATTTTGGTAAAATTGCTTATTTGTGAAGTAAAAAAGGTGGGGAAAGTTCAGATCTCTAGAAAAACTGCATGATTTTTAAAGAAAATTCCAATGGGAATAAAAGGACTCTGTTATATAAGGTGACACTGTTTTATGTAGAAATATTTTTTTTATAATAGTTAAGAGTCACACATTTCTTTAGCTATAGGTTCATCAACAATACTCAACAGTCCCTTGAAAAAATACATTTTAAACATATTTCACAAATAAAATCTTACTTTTTCAAACTGATGGACTCTGAAGATGCCACGAGTATCCCTACCATGGGATCCTACTTCTTGTCTGAAGCAAGTCGAGTAACCACAGTATTTAATGGGCAAGGTTTCTGTAGGAACCCATTCATCACGATGGTAGGCGGCAATAGGTTGTTCCGATGTTGCTATCAAGTACTTCTCATCTACACTACCATCTTCCTGCTTTTCACTTCCTTTACCTATGACCTAGAAACAAAATTTCAATAATTTTGTTCAGGCTAAGATGAAAATAAGAATACGCACCAAAATTTGATTTATCCACATGCTAAAATGAAGCATTGATTGCCACTAAAGACAAAACTACAAAAAAGTACCGCTCTTCTTTATATTTTGGATAAAATTTAATATTTTTGGGTGACCACGCAAGATTCTGGAAAGGAGTCCGAAAAATAATAGGTCTATCAAATAAAACTTTTAGCGATTGGTTTTTCTCACTTAAAAGGGAAGAGGCATTACTCTCTTGAATAAGGGGGAAATTATCATTAAAATTGCTAATAGTGAAGTAATAAGAAAGATGGGGTAATTTTCAATTTTTTTTAGGGAAATGGCATGATTTTAAAGAAAATTTTACCAGGAGAGAGGCCTCTGTTAAATAAGGAGGAAAATCACTGTTAGCACTAATATCATAATATGAATGAAATGATTTCTGTTTTGTTTTTAATATGAAGACGTACTTGTGTTACAGAGCAAATGTATTACCTTATACAGTTCCTCGTCAAACTGTGAGAGTTGAGCCACCTCTTGCATCACCTCTTTCCTCATAAAGAAAGGTGTATACAGGGGGGTGTAACCTTTCTCGTTTAATAACCGCATTGCTAGGTTGATCAGTGCTTGCTCTAAAAACACAGCTGGTCCCTGAAATATAGTGAAACTGAAGGTTTGTTTGATTGGGTTTTTACATCACACCGACACAGTATGGGTCATTTTGGCGACATTCCAGCTTAAATGGTGGAGGAAGACCTCAGGTGCCCTTCCGTGCATTATTTCAGGCACGAGCAGGCACCTGAGTAGAACCACCGGCGTTCCGTAAGCTTGTTTGATAGCTTCCTCACAAGTTCTTGTCGGGAATCGAACCCACAGCGGTGAGGGGCAAGTGGTTTAAAGTCAACGGCCTTAACCACTCTGCCACAGACAAAACTGAAGGTAAAGAATAAAGTAAACTCCTATGTGATACTGTACACATAGACATTCATGTTCACTGTAAGAAAATGAAACAGTACAAGCTCTGTAGAGCTACACCTTTGGGAGTAAACGATTATGTTGACGAGAGGTATTACACTAGGGAGGCTAAATTTATTGTCCAGTCTTGCTTTGAGAAAATTGCAACTGTTGTTGTAAAGAGGAAATTGCTCTAGAGAGGGTCGCTCTGTGGAGTTTACACTGTATTCTCAATAATGAATACAGGTGTATGTTTCTATTATATGACTAAAGTGAACATTTTAATGTTTTAAATTGAAAAAGATCACCCTGCTTGTTATATCTTGCCTTATGTTTATGTAAAATATATATTAAAAAAATCTTTTTTAATCTATTAGAATATCAAACAAACGTACAGTAACACATATGACAATATTGGTAAATGTAAGCATATTTGTATAAATAACAGCACAGTTTTATAAAAACACAGATGTTCTATGTCCAAAATATGTTAGAAAATACTAAAAGCAATCTTTTCACAAATTCTTTAAACTTCACTTTTAAAATCCAGGTCATTTCAGGGTCAAGGTCAAATTTCATTTCCAAGGTCAATATAGAACACTTCACACCCCTGGAAACATGATGTGGCCAAGTATGTCTATGAAGCTTGTAGCTTATGTCAAAATATGTAGGATATCAATTACTAACAGTACCTTGAGATAGTAGCCTCTACCACCTGCTACACTGGATCCTCTAGTATCATCTACCCCATCTATCATCACTATCAGGTCAACATGAGAATATTTCTTTTTACTTTCACAATCTCCTGATGTCCTCTCAATTCCATTCTCATCCTAGAGGTCAAAGTTCAACCATTTTTAATATCATGCATGAAATAAGATATCATATAAGGTAATAATTCATACTAATAACTTCAATCAGCTTCATTTAGACCTGAACAAAATCTGAAACTTTCAATAACCTTTTAAAACTATTTAAATATTGGGTCTTTAAAAAAGGTGACTGGAAACCATACAAGTCTAAACAATATCATTTAACACTGTTAAGGCCTATTTCAGTGTATTCCAACCATGTTGTGCAAGTAGCCATAATTACAACACGATGTACATAGGTAGCTGATCACTGTTGAAATTTGCATTGAGCACTGAAACATTCTTTTTTTTATCATTTTCAGTAACATAATGCACATAACATTTACTGGGCTAAAGCTGTTAGTAACTAAATTTTGCATCAATGAGACAATTGAATATTTGACTCATTTTTGGAGATCAATCTTCGTGGAGAAATTTCGGCATGCCAAAGGATCGAACCATCAACCCCTGTATTACAAATTGGATGCTCTCAATATTGACTTAAGTGGGTGGAGTAAGAAAATTATGGGAATACCAGGAATGCAGTCTTTGACAAAATGATTTTAGAACAAGATGAACCACAGAATGTTAACAGTTTACCTCATCATTTGAGACAATGCACGACTCATGGAGAATGTTGCCCATTTCTTTGAGAGACTCATTCCTCTCTGACTCGTGTTTGATGAGATCAGAATCATTCTGCTTTGTCTGATCGTCAATGTACACTCGTAACTTCTTGATCTGTGTCACTGTGAGGGACTATAATAACAAGTTAAATACGGACAATGAAAAATCGTGCATAGAAAATGAATAAAAAAACTTACATTCATATTTAAAATGATTGTCTTTGCTGTATTGCTATAAGGTATAAAGTCAAATGAGATTGTAAAAGTGATAATTCAGGGTTTTCATTTTTACATTGAGGCAACAGATGTGCCAGTAAAAACAACCAATTTTGGCCAAAGGTCAAAGGGACATTTTAATCTACAGGCTGAAAATAAAATCAATTTTAACAGCATTTCAATTGATAACATAGTTTGCCAATGAAAACCTTGTGTGACATGCAATTTACAAGCTAGATAAAAGTAGATAGACCACGTAACAAGGAAGATTACAAATTTATTTACATACATGAACAAATTTGAAATAAATAAGCTTAAGTGAAATAACTGTATTTATCAAACTATCTACGATTATGTAGAAAACTAACATGTATAAACCAACTGAAATACATTTTGTATCATAAATCATAATGTTTACATAACAAAAAAAAACAACTGTTTGAAGTGTGAAATTATTTCTTTGAATGGTTAAAAAAAAGAAGTCGAAAGTATTTTCAGTGTAAACAATCTAAAGATAAAAATGTAGCCAAACTGTTTTGTAAAACAGTTTAAAGAAAAGTCATAAAATATTGAATTTATAAAGAACGAATGTCTTAAAATACAATTTTATAGATCTTACAGCTAATTTTTCCTGATTGACAGATTCGAGATCTTCTTGCAGACCTTCGGGCAATGTCTCATCCTCTCCTACTGGTTCCTTCTTCTGTAAAATGTAAAATATTCTACATGTAAATGATCAAACATGGATCAAGAGATTTAGAGTTATATTTCTTGTTTGTATATCTTCATATTTGGCATCAATTATTAGCTCAGCCTATTTGTAGTATACCAATATTGGAAATAAATGTTTAAGTGTATAAAGCTATATAATTGCTGTCTGTGAATTATGTAATTATTGTTTACATTGTTATTAAAATGATAACAGAATACCTAGAATGAAAGACATCTGTCAGAGTGATTAGGACTTGTTTGAAATCATCGTCAAACCTACTAAAAATAGCTGCGAAATATTTTGTTCTGAAACATTTTATTCTGTTCATGTTTAATATTCATTTATATTAAATTACCTGTATATCAAAAATTCTTTGCATCAAAACTTTGAAGAAACCATTAGGTTATCAATACAACAAAATTTTACTGTTTTTCTAATATTTATAACAAATATTTCATCATATATATAGCTTTATACATGTTAATGTTATCAGCCAAGACAAAAATTTCAAGCATATACATGTACACACCTTCATCTTCTCTCCAATAGCCTTGCTGCACACATTCTTCAACTTGTTTAACAGATCAGCCCTGTATCTACCTAAAATTAATAGTTTAACACAAAATTACAAACTAATTGTTGTCATATAAATAGCAAACCATTAAGATTTAATCAAGCACAGTGTTTTAATCAAAAGTACATAAATAACCAAAAGGCCAGCATTTTTTTTATTAAATGTTGTTTTACAAAATACTGTTCAACATTCATTTTTTGTGGGGGTGGGGATGTGTGCAATAACAAAAGCCACTGCTGGATGGGGGCAACACAACGCAGAAATAAACTGTTTAAACAAATACATGTATTTAAAAAGAAAATTAAAGAAAAAACAGAAAGTTTTTCCTTTTTTTACTTTAATACATGTAGGTCTGTCTAGTCGTACTTGTTGTTTTGTCCAAGTATAAATCATTTCTCTAAATACATTTAAATGACAAAATTAAGAAAAATATTGGCAAAATTCAATCATCTGACCTTGAAGGTCAAGGTCATTTAAAGGTCAATGTCATATCTAAATTATTGAACATGTCTGTTTGGCCACAAGTGTTGTTTTATCCATGTATAAATCAAATCCGTACATACTGTACATAACAAAATTATAACAACCTCACCAAAATTCAGTAATATGATCAATGTCAGTACAACATTTTAGAAGGTCTTGTCCAAAAGGTTGTTTTGTCAAAGTATTCTAAACAGCCAACTAAAACAAATAATAACAAAATATCAAAAGAGGCTAAAGAATATTATTTCTCAACACTCGAATACATGAGTCACCAAGGCTTAAACTGCATTCATTGTCAAAGATAAACGATCCCAGATATTTTTGCAACTTTAAACAGACGTCTTATATAGGTTTTTTGCACTAAATTGATTTTCCAAAACCATTATCAATTAATTATTCATATACTGCACACATTATTATGTCATACATGCAGGAAAAAATATGATAAGAGCATTAAATCATAATATTATTGAATTTTATTTCCAATCAAATATAATAATGATATATTGTGCAAGATGTACGTAGAAGACATAACATTACTAAAACCACATTATAATTAGCAAACCTATTTAAAGACGTTTTCCGGAGTTTTCATGTAGACATATAGGCAAAATTAAAACTGTTCAATAAAATTTCTTTAAACTTGGCATGTTATTAGAATATGATAACAGAAACATTTTAAAAAGAAAAAAATTTGGGGTAACCATTCTCATTTTTTGAGTTATCTGCCCTTGAACTGGACCTTTTCATTAAATTCAAGGGCAGATAATTTATAATGAGGCGAAACAGTACATTTTTTTGGTTCTAATTTTCATGAAGCTTACCTTCATGATTTAGTCAATATGAAAAATTCAAGAACAAATTAAGAGTGGATAGTTTCTTTCTTTTCTTCTTCTCTTTACCTGTGCATTTTTGCTTAAAAATTTGCGTATTTTTTAAAGCTAAATTAAATAAATTTCACAAAAACAGAAATAGCGACATTTCATTAATACATTGGGTTTCATATCGACTCCACATCTTATTATGGTGTCAAGACAACCAAAATGAGTTTTATAAGCATACATATCTGCGACCTCATTGTGGCGAAATCGGAAGTAAAATTTCTGTTTGCATAAGAAACTCCGCCCTCGGATCATCCGTACATCAATATTAAATCAACAAACATGGCGATAAGTAGCAGTCCTAATATAACGGTATATTTCCGCATTGTAACGGACGTTTTCATACAAATTTAATATTTTTATCAGATGATTACTCTTTCCTGAACGCCATGCCAAGTGCACCGTGAAGCTAAAACGGTTAAAGTGTGTTTGCACATGAAAATCTCATATTTGCTGTGTTCTGTATAGCAACTATAACACTGTGACGTAGCACATACACAAACTGATTATAGTCTTCATTTGCATGTTAAAATTCGTATACGAACTTTAGTGTTACCGTGGGGTTTTCCGTTTATAATCCTAATTTATGAACAATGTTTGATGAGATTTACAACAATACTGTTAAAAAGGTTAATGAAACTGTATAATGCTTGGTTTTTAGGCCGACTGCAAAATATTTTTTACATATTTATTTAATGTAACTTTAATGGATTTAAAAAACGTTAATTTTCATTGAAAAAAATAACAGAAACGATATATAAGGAATTGCATGTAATTATGTATTGTATTCAACAGTAAAAAGAAAACAAGATTGCATTTGTAAACAAGAACTGTCGGAGGACAGTAACGCTCGACTATTCGAAAATTTGTCACAAGGTGTTTCATTGAGTATAATAATGCTTACCTATATGAATACATAAAATTGTCCGAAAAGATACAAACTCTTCAAGTTTCAATACATTCCCTTCAGTAGTTATGGAGATACAAGCTTACATGCAAAAACTTAACCAAGAATTCATGAGTCAAAAAAGGGGCATAATTATGTAAAAAAGCGAATCAGAGTTATGGGACTTGTGCCAATCATCTTAGATAATCACAGAGAACAAGTGTGTGAAGTTTCAATACATTCCCTTCAGTAGTTATGGAGATACAAGCTTACATACAAAAACTTAACCAAGAATTTCTAAGTCGAAAAAGGGGCATAATAATGTAAAAAAGCAAATCAGAGTTATGGGACTTGTGCCAATTATCTTAGATAATCACAGAGAACAAGTGTGTGAAGTTTCAATCCATTCCCTTCAGTAGTTATGGAGATACCAGCTTACACGCAAAAACTTAACCAAGAATTTCTAAGTCAAAAAAGGGGCATAATTATGTAAAAAAGCAAATCAGAGTTATGGGACTTGTGCCAATCATCTTAGATAATCACAGAGAACAAGTGTGTGAAGTTTCAATCCATTCCCTTCAGTAGTTATGGAGATACCAGCTTACATACAAAAACTTAACCAAGAATTTCTAAGTCGAAAAAGGGGCATAATAATGTAAAAAAGCAAATCAGAGTTATGGGACTTGTGCCAATTATCTTAGATAATCACAGAGAACAAGTGTGGGAAGTTTCAATCCATTCCCTTCAGTAGTTATGGAGATACCAGCTTACATACAAAAACTTAACCAAGAATTTCTAAGTCGAAAAAGGGGCATAATTATGAAAAAAAGCAAATCAGAGTTATGGGACTTGTGCCAATCATCTTAGATAATCACAGAGAACAAGTGTGTGAAGTTTCAATCCATTCCCTTCATTAGTTATGGAGATACCAGCTTACATACAAAAACTTAACCAAGAATTTCTAAGTCGAAAAAGGGGCATAATAATGTAAAAAAGCAAATCAGAGTTATGGGACTTGTGCCAATTATCTTAGATAATCACAGAGAACAAGTGTGTGAAGTTTCAATCCATTCCCTTCAGTAGTTATGGAGATACCAGCTTACATACAAAAACTTAACCACAGGGACGCCGACGCCGACGCCGACGTCGACGCCGACGCCGACAAATGGGTGACTGCATTAGCTCGATTATTCTGCGAATAGTCGAGCTAAAAATGCCATGCCACCGCATAAATACAACACTAAATAGTAATATAGTAAAAACATTAAAAAAATCTTCTCTAATTGACAAAGGCTAGTAAGAACACATTTTTTTTTGGTTTCTATACAGATTGCCATAATGCATAGGTCACTTACCTATCTGTTATTATCAGATTAGTACCTTCAGAAATAAGATTTTTTTTACTTTAAGATATAGTGACTGAAAATCAATGATCCCCAGGGGCCAATTTTGACCCCAGGCTTTAATTTGAATAATCTTGCTAGAGGTTCACTACACAATGTTTAATGCAAAATGTCTAACCTCTAGCCTTTGTCAATTAGAGAAGATTTTTTTAATGTTTTTACTATATACATGTAAGGAAAACCTATGCCCCCGGGGCGGGGCTAGTTTTAACACTAGAGGCAAAATTTGAACAACTTTGGTAGAGTACCTATAGATGATATCATATACCAAATATCAAAGCTCTAAGCCTTGTACCTTCAGACAAGAAGTTTTTTTAAATTTTTTACTATATGTACATAGTGAAAACCAATTACCCCCGGGGCGGGGTCAATTTTGACCCCAGAGCTATAATTTGTACAATCTTGCTAAAGGTTCACTACAGAATGTTTCATGCAAAATATCTAACCTCTAGCCTTTGTGAATTTAGAGAAGATGATTTTTTAAGTTTTTACTATATACATATAAGGAAAACCTATGACCCCCGGGGTGGGGCTGATTTTGACACTAGAGGCAAAATTTGAACAACTTTAATAGAGATCCTATAGATAATAACACATAACAAATATCAAACCTCTAAGCCTAGTACCTTCAGACAAGAAGGTATTTTAAGTTTTTACTATATGTACATATAGTGAAAATCAATGACCCCTGGGGCGGGGCCAATTTTGACCCCAGGGTTATAATTTGAACAATCTTGGTAGAGGTCTACCAGACAATGCCTCATGCAAAATATCTAAGCTCTAGGCCTTTTGGGTCTTTACAAGAAGATTTTTTAAATTTATTCTTATAATTCCTTTTGGTTGCCATGGCAACCAGATTTCTTCATGGAATAAAATTCTTTGAACAACTTTAGAAGCCCTTAACCCAAGGACCAATCCTACTAAGTTTGGTTGAAATTGGACTAGTGGTTTTTCACAAGAAGATTTTTTAAGTTCACTATATAATCTATATAACACACACACACACAAACGAACAAACAAACACACACACACACACACACACACACAGGTGAATCGCTATATGCCACCGCATCGCAGATGCTGCGGTGGCATAAAAACATTATTCAGAAGTAAAAACAAGTATTCATTTACGTATGTATAAGTTATCTGCCCTTTAAATGACCTCAAATAAGTAGAAAATTCTGATTCAGGGGCAGAAAACTCAAAAACAAGAACGGTGACCCCATTTTTTGTTTTAGCTTAAAATGTTCCTGTTATCATATTCTAACAACATGCCAAGTTTAAAGAAATTCTATAGAACAGTTTTAGTGTAGCCTATATGTCTATCTGAAAACTCCCGAAAACGTCCTTAACATGGACTTTGTAACTAAAAC